TGGGAAACGAGGGGAGTGCTCTCTGCATCCCTGTGCCTCCAGTGCTTTGCAGCTGGGATGGTGGGAAGCACCCAGGGCAACAGTAGATCTTGTGTTAAGTGATCTCTGAGCTTGATTGTTCATCCTTGTGCTAAAAGGTGTCTTCCCTGGACTAATGTAAAGGGTTTGCATGCCCAGGTGACACTAGTCTGTTCAGCTGAAGTGTTATTGAGAACTTCTCGAGGAGCTACATAACTGTAATGACTCAAGCATGTGTCTACAGCTCTGTTTTGTAAAGGGCAAATGCACTGGAAACGTGGTGATTCATTAGATAATGACTGTTTCCAGAACTGGCTCCCAGGATTGTTGGAGCCAAACACTGACGTCCAAATGTGTTTTTTCTTTCTTCCTCGAGATTTTGTGGTGCAGAAGGATTTGTGTTATGGTTTGGGAGGAAAAGATTAAAGGCGAAAGTTAGGGGAATGCAAGTAGCCCTTAAAAAACCCAAACCTCTCGAGCTTATTCTTTTGAGGTGGAATGAGAGAAACACGAGCACTTGAGAAGTAAGTGACATCTGTGTCAGAGTGAGATAAGGGAAGGAAACACTGCAGCATCCAGATGCTCAAATTTGTCTCATCTTGATGTAGAGGACAGTGGTTGCTGGTGCACATGCTTGTGTTTCAGTGCAGGGAGGGAGCACAGTCCAGCTCCAGCAAGACAGAGCTCAGTGTGGACAGAGGCACCCTAGCTCTTAACTTCTTCCAGCTACAACTAGATGTCTTCTGCTTTAAAAACCTCCTTTAGTTTTGGAGCTGTTTGAGACCATCAGTCTTCCTTTTCTGTTGTTTTGTACTTGAAGTGTTATACAGTCCAGGGTTACAGCATCACCTGGTCAGAGTGGTGACTGTTTTCACCCCCATTCCCTGGCATAACCACTGTGCACCTCCCTGCCGTCCACCAGGCAGCATTGCTGCTTCGCGGGGACAGACATTCCCTCTTGCTGCTTCCTCTCCAACATCTTCAAACTTAGAAACAGCAGTCACAGATGAGCCCAAGGGAGCAGTACATCATTGTTTTCCATGAGACTGTACCCCAGGAGCTACCCCTGATTCAAACTGCAGTCTTGTCTTTCATCTTCTTCAGAATTTCAGCACCCAAACTGTTGCATTTATGCCCCTTGATTCCCTCTTCTGCTTTCCTATGAAACAAAACACTCCAGAAAATGACTGCTTCATCAGTTCTGTCACTCAAATAAGATGGGAAATCTTTATGCATTATTTTCCACACAGCTATTTTCTTCCTCTTTCATCTGCCCATTGCTGCTGACACAAGTGTATTTCCTTATAAAAAGGGGAAGATCTTACTGGAAAGCTGCCTAAACCTCATGAAGTGTCCCAGGAAGGTCGGGTAGGGTGGATTCCACAAGAACTGCCTTGTCTTAGAGGACTATAAATAGTTAAAGATGTCTACTTCAAGGGAGAAGTGACATCCCTCTGCCTCTCCCATTGTCGATCTCCGTTTAGAAATGGAGCCACACTGATGAAGGAAAGGGAAGGAAAATGGAACAGTGTGTGAATAGTGTTGTCTTCCTCCACCATCATGACACAGAACACACTTAATGGCCCAACTGTGTCTAACAGCTCCCTCCTGATGCCTGAAAGTAAAGATGAAATAGAAGATTAGAGGGTTTTAATTTGGTGATTTGTGTTCTACATGTTTGTGGTCTTTTTCATACAGATAGGGTGGCTCAGACACCTAATAAAGGTTTGTAGGATGATTCTGATAACATTAATACCATAACTTATGATAAGGCACCCACCTCTGTGTTTTTTCCTTGGATGTCTTCCCATCCTTCTTTCTGAGGTATTGTCTCAGTGAAGGTTAAAGCTGGGATTTGATGGGACTACAAAGGTGGGAGATGTCCTGTTCTGTGAGAACTGTGTGCCTCCTTTCAAATGCCTAGCTTTAATCTGTACACCTAATTTGTACTTGAATCGGCTGGTCAGATGGACTTCTGCCCATCAATGACACTTGAGACCGAGTACTCTGGAGGTGGCACCTTGTTTGTTCATCCATATTAGCTCTGTCTTCTCTGTTTTGCACTGTGAAAAATGGGGAATCTCCTCAGACGGCACTGTGTGCCAGTACGGTGGAAACATAGGGAACAGCAAAGCTGTCCTGCTGGATAAAATTAATAAAGCTGGTGCTCAGAGGACATGGCTAGGTGGATCTGGTGGATCCCAGATTGGTTTTGAGCTGCTTATAATGCAAAGGAGTCCTTGACGTAACGGGTTCCTTGGGGATTCTGCTACCAAAGGAAGTGGAAGTAACTGTATGGTAACGAAAGCCCCAGAGGCACAACTGGAAGTGAAGGGCAACCACAGATGCAGAAATCACTTTCTTCATTGGGCACCATTCTTGCATGGATGGTTGCAGAAGGTGAATCCATGAAGACAGGAAAAAGCTTGATAACTCCAGGCAAAGGGAGCATGGGTATGAGTCAGGAAACTGTTCTAGGGAGATGTCCCTGTGGACCTAGGACTTGAGGGTTATCTCTTAGGAGGTTTTCCTGACAGGGTCTGCTGGCTATCAGCTGGGAGGGCCTTCCTGAGCTCTTGATAACTGATGGGAAGCTGTAGGTTTCCTCCCTTGCCATAGGGCAAATGTATGGGCTTAAGTTCAGAGGAAGCAAAGTTGAGATTGCTGATAGAAATTGAAAACAAGGAGTTCTCGGCATGGGAGAGCTGTTGCATTAACAGCATTGTTCAGAATTGGCTTTAAAAATCCCAGATCAAGGCCTCCTCCCCAAATTTGATCTAATGTTTTTATTTTTAGAAAATACAGTGCCTCTTGAGGTGAGCTGTGGGGTTTTTTGCAGCCAGTGACCTTTCAGGCCAAACACAGCTTGTATCTCCTGTTTTTAATCCGCCATCATCAGTGGCAGACACTGTCTTTTTTTTAGGTGAACAATGAGGTTTCCATGTAGTTGTTTGATTCCAGGAGTTTAGCAATTCAAGGAAGGACTTCTGGGGTAAAATCATGAGCTTCAATGACAAGTCATATGATGATGTTTATTCATGCCGAGACTGTACTTTTTCAATTTCTCTGGCTGTGTTTCATTTGGAAAAGCAAGATTGGTGGGTACAGGGGATGCAGAAAAGCCCTATGAGGAAACCTGAACCCCTAAAGTTGTTCTGGTTAGGTGGGAGGACTCATGCTGAATTTGTCACCAGCCATGTGAATTACCCAAGTCTCCCGCCTCATCTTCTTGCCAATGTTATGGAGTCTTTTTCACCTAGGGTCAAAACATCAAGGACCATCTGAGTGGTCAGAGAGGTGCAGAGCACCTTTCTTTTAAATCTACCACCTCCCAGACCTTCCCAAAGACAATTGCCGTGAGCAGCTCCTGGGCTCTGGGAAGTAGACCAAGCTAAGGCTTTCAGTTCTTCAGACTCACGAAACAGCAATGAAACCACCAGTGAACTGGATCGTTTTAATGCCATGGAAAAGAGAAATAAATGCAGCATTGCATTTAACCCAGTGTCTTGTGGCAAGGGTTATTGATTTAGGGCTTTTCCTTGCGTACCTCTACAACATGTTTGTAAAAAGATCAGCCTAAATTAACAGTGCACAGTTATGATTATTTTAGAAATGGTTAGAATTTTTGCCATGAGGCATGGAGGGAAGATAAGATAGCTGTGATCTGCCCTGTTGCCTTATAGCTGAGATCCAAGTGGAGCAGAACGCAGCATCATGCTGTGGTGGTTTAGTCCATATGAGCGTGTGCTGAACCTCCCAGCAGCTGCGCTGGCCACTGCTCTCCTCAGTGGTATCTAAACAATAGTGCAATGTTGATAAAGATATTAAAGGTTGGAATGATGAGTGGCTAGGGTGAAAATCTACTTTTGGGCTTATTTCCTTTTTTAATTTTCTTTTTAAGTTAAAATCCATGCGGTGCAATATCAAGACAACATTTACCTTGAATACAGCGTGTACTCCTTGTGCTGCAGCACCTAAAATGTTGTGTCCGAGAGGCTGGTTAAAGACAACTCAAGGATTAGGAATGAGGGACTGCAGGTAAGACCTATTTCCTAACCACGGTAAAGTTTTGGTGTAGCCCTGCTATGCAAGGAGTAGTGTGTATGCTTTCAGGAGAAGACACCTGTTTGTTGAGCTCGAAAGATCCAAGGCATTTTATTTTCAGATGCATAAAAATGGATTTATGGCCCCTATTATTGTTGGGTTTGTCTCCTTGCAAATCCCATGGACTTTTTGCTGGGCATAGGATTCCGTGTATGCAGAATAAGTGACATGGTAGTTACCTCTAACTTGCCCTAAACAACCTGAGTTTGCTAATCCTGCAACTTAACAGAGGTCTGTCTAGCACAGAAACCTGTTTCAGACCCAGAATGCCATAGTAGATTATTAGGAAAATAATATAATGATAGTTCCTCTTGTATATCCTCCCAGCTTCCAGCAATAATATTCTGAACTTTTTACCTTCCTAGTTCGCTTTATGACAATTGCTTGTTCATGTGTTACTTGCTTTTATTCTGTTGAGCTTGGCTTTGACAGAGGGAGGGTGAAGGAAAACTGAAATTGCCAGGAAGTTTTTAAAAAATAAACCACTATAGATTATTGTTTGCCTATCTATTCAGTAGTGACTGTTAACTGTTAATATTTAGCTCCATTGTCTACTGTTTTCTGTGATTCACTATTCTGTTGAAATACTTTAAAAATAGCTGTAGCAATTTTGCAGGTTATAGCAGTTTTTGCGCAGACACACATAGGAGCCAGATTGAAGCCAAAGCTGCAGTGCTATTGAGACAATTTCCAAGTTCCTTTTGGGAAGGATGTGGTGCCAAAAATAAAATGAAGTGTAAGAATAATGTGAGGGTATGCAGCTTTTCTGAGAGTTATCTGCTCTTGTGGTCATTGTTGAACTGACCCAAGGATAGTTCTGCACTGAATACATGCAGAACAAGAGACCCTGCCAAAAGCTTGCCTTATGTGTAGAGGCGATGGATGAAAGGTTGAAAAGATTTAGAAAAGGGACTTAAAGGGTTTGCCCAAGATTGAAGAGAGAACCTGTGAATAACAGAGCTATTAAATCCAAACTTCCAGCATCCCAGTCTGGAATCTTGAGTGCAAGACAGAAAGGAACAATTTCTGCAAGGAGACTTTGTTATTTCAGGGTTATTTTAGACGTGAGGTTGAATGCTGAGTCACCCTAGAGATCCTAACTTTGTTTCTATGCTGTCTAATCCTCCAGCATCCAAGGTTTCTATCCTGAATGCCTTCAGACTGCCCAAGGTCCTGCCTCATGTCCAGTCCCTGGCAGATTTCTTGTAACCAATCTTTGAGGCTCAAATTATTTGGCATCCTTAGAGAAGCCATAACCCAAGTGCAAAGTCTTGTGTACGTGTGTGGCAGAGAGAATGAGTGCCCTTCCTTCCATCTGGAGTTCAGTGCACTGCAATGTGATTGCTTAGAAACCCTTCAACGGGCATGTAGTGTATTTGTGCTGTAATTGTGGATCTTGGCTTCTTCTTTTTAAGATACACTGTCAAGTTAGGAGAAAATACCCTTTCCCAGCCAGGGTGTCATCACCTGTGTAAGAAGGAAATTGAGGAGAAAAAGTGCTGTCCAGGATTCTGGGGTACAGAGTGCTATGGTAAGGTTTTCATCTTTTTAAAACACTCTCTAGCTCTTGCATAAGTCAAACTAGTTTTAATGCGAGGCATTGAATATGCACTGACATGACTAATTTTCATTATTCCTCGAACACTCACAAGATCTCTGTTATCTGTCTGGGAGGTTCAAGCTCTAATGGGGAAGGAATCTCTGCTTCAGATGAGCTGAATTTTCTTACATTTAACACATAACCTCCTCTGGTGGAACTTCCTTTTGTCTCTTTTTAAAAATAAGCTTTTGGAAAGGGATGTTTTTGTTCCTCTTTAAGAAAGTTTCCAAAGGAAGAGGAAGATGTTTCTTTCTGACGTCCTTCTAGTCTGCAGTGTGTGTGCCACGTGTGCTTCTGTACAGTCTGGAGTCAGTCAGCCATTCGGCCACAGAAAATACTTAGCAATTCTAACCCAAGGTGAAAATAACCACCCCAAAGCTCCCACTCAGCTTTATGACAAGTAATGAAAATTTCTTGTGTCTTGCCTGAAAAATCCAAAAGCAAGACCTACTAAGCTAAACACTTCTCCTATGATTTACTGGCTGCTGCAGTATGGAGAGAAGCTCTCCAGTCCTGCAGAAAATGGGAGATTGCTTGAGTGCTTGAGCCTGTTCTCACACAAAGTGGCTTCAATAAGCAGCTGGCTTCGTCAGAGCAATCATGAGCCTAAATTGAGCAGAAATTAGTCCCGAGAATTTGGAAGTGCCTCATTCCAAAGGTGTGTGGACACTGTTTTTCTGAGCACACTTCCAGCACTTCATGAAGTCGGGGAGAGCTGAAAATGCTCAATATCTTTGCAAAGATAGCTCCTGTCTGTTCTGAGTTTCAGAACTGCCCTCAGGTGTTTGACACCACCTCTCGCTGATGCTAGCAGCAGTCCTCAATATTGAAACACGTTTCAGTGTCTTTGCTGAATTCTAGTTGGTTATGGCCCATTGGAAATTTTTCTTAGACTTTTATTAAAAGGCTTCTCTTAGCTAGGAGGCAAAATGCTTCTTGGTGACACTCCTGGCCGTATTCACCAGTTCTGAGCCACTGTTAGGTGCATTAGAAAAGCAGGCAGGGACTTCGCTGGTGAGGAGTCCACAGCTTTTGCACAATGGGAATATCTAGGGGGAGAGGAGATGGAAAGGGGAATACAGTGCTGGTTGTTGAATCTAATCTTGTCTGGCCTGTCTCTTGCCTGCTAGAGTGTCCGGGTGGCTCTCAAAATCCCTGCAATGGCCACGGAACATGCTTGGATGGTATGCAACAAAATGGGACCTGCATCTGCAAGGTCAGTGCATGATTTATTCTAAGAGTGATGTGCTTTTGTCAGAGGGAGTTGTACAGCAATTGTGCAGATGTTTTGGATGAAGGCTGCACTTCTGCCTGGAAAGTCATTAGCAACTACTTTCATTCCAGCATCAGTGTCTGTGATTTTCCTGGAGAGTTGGTGTGGTTTGCAGTTGCACTAAAAGAGTGTTGCTGTGGGTATGGATCTGGGAAGGATCTCTAGGGGGAAATGAAGAAAGAATTGTGTGAATTTAACCCTCTAATCATTTTAAATAATCAATGACTCTCTGTGTCTGTAACAAGTCCTGAGATACTTGGCTCCTAATGAGCTGCACGTTTTCCAGACTTGGATGATGTATTTCCCAAATGAACTGGTCCTGCAGCTTGGCAGGCAGATGCTCCCTCTCTCAGGCAAAGCAAGAGAGACCAGAAAGAGAATTTAAGAAGTCGTTTACTCTTTTCTTTGCAGCTCCAGTCTTAGTATAACAAAAGCATAAACCACTCCTGCACATTTGAATCATATACAGCAGTGTTTCTAAAATTTTTAGTTTAATTGATCAATGTCAGACTTGAAACTTTCTCTTACAAACTTATTTTACAGCATGCTTAATGAATAGCACCGTGAACTAAAATCCTACGTCTTGTGCCCTTCTCTGAGAAAAGTTGATTTTGAATTTAATTCAAAGGCACCTTATATCAATTAAAATATATACTGAAGGTCCCTAAGCCCTGTAAAATCAGTGAATTGGCATTAGTGAATTCCAACTTCCTTTTTCAGAGAGATATCAGAAGCCAGCTGGTACATTCCTGTCTGTCTGTAATTAGGACATTGTTTCTTCAATGCCCAGCAGAGTTTTGCTGGCATTTTGCATGCCCTCTGTGTGTCAGCTCTCACTGTGATCTTTGCCATGGGGTGTGGTTAATTCTACTTGAGCACTGTATTGCTTCAACTGTCACAGAAAATCGGAAGTGGATAGAGACTTTGAACTATAACAATGTGTGGAACAATGCAATAATACAGCAAATTAACATCTGGGACATTTTGGGGCCCTTCTAGGAGCAATACAGTGGTTTTGCCTGCCAGAATTGTCGAGATGAAAATCGTTTTGGCCCAGACTGTCAGTCAGGTAAGGACAAGTAATTCAGGTGAAACCTCCACAACAATAACTGAGAGGAAGGAAGGGAGGGGAGGTTGAGTGAGGAAGGGTGCTGGAGAGGAGGAGATGCCTTCTGGCAGTGTTCAGTAACGGGTGTCTTGGCATTTTGTCTTTAGGCCCTTCTCCCTGTTCCATTAGACAAATGATTCGCAGTCTTTCACTCAGATCGGTCCATCTTTTGTATTGTAAATATCTTGTCCCCTTACCAGGTCTATCACGGTTTCCTCTCTGTTTTTAGCCAGGCTGTTTCCTACATCCCTGAAGCATCCAAGCTGTTTTCTAGACTCTTGTAACTCCCCCACTTTTATCCCAGCTTTGTTGCTCTCCCTGCAAAATTAATACAGACATTGCTGCTTCTTATATATGGCATTTTTGGAAATTATTTATGACCAGTGCAGCCTGGCTTATAAAAGGAGCCCTTTTCATCCATCTCCTAGTTCCCTTGTAACACACGGGTGAGATAGGTGTGATCTTGGTGGTTGTGCTCACACAATGACACCGATGCAGGGATCACAGGCGTGGTAGGCTCTCCTAACACTGCCCTCTTCTACATTGACTGCAGGAGACTTAGAGGAGTGGGAAGTTAAAACACGTGCCTGAAGCTGGTCTAGATCTTGCATACAAAGCTGTTCTTACAGGGCAGTACTTTGTCTTCTGGAGCCCTGGACATGTAGTTTGCCCTTTGTAAACTCTGACTGGCATTTTTTAAAGGAGCTATATCGCTGTGAATTATTGGTGGGAAATCAAGGTGCCAAATTCCAGAGCTGTTGACCAATGTGTGCCTGGAGCCCTGTGCACTGCCTTGTAGCTGAAGATGACATTTATCTGGACTTTCCTTGCAGTGTGTGACTGTGTGCATGGAGAGTGCAACAGCGGCGTCACTGGGAATGGAAGCTGTATGTGCTATGAAGGCTACACTGGCCCCAGATGTGACCAAGGTAAATACTTTGGTAGCTGCAGAGGGGCTGTGAGAGTTAACTGTTGTATGTGCTTGGATGCACGTGTTGCAGAAGGAGCTGAGGGGTGATGAATAGCTTGAGAATGTAAAGGGAAGGTGATCTAAGTACTGCAGAACGAGACAGAGGGAAAAGCTGGAGTCCGCACCCCATGCTGTGACAGTGGCCAAGATGTACCATCTCGTGCCTCTGTTGTTTCTCTGGAAAGCAAATAGGCCCTTTCTTCTCTCTAAGCCTTGTGGGACACGGCTACATCAGCTGCCAGTAATTTAGAGCTGTTCGCAGTGTGTGTATCCCCTGGCTTTTGTACCTATCTGGAGGCCTCAGAAATCCACATTTGCCTTCATTTCCAGATATTTCGTAAGGTAAGTTGTATCTTCCAGCAGTGCCCTACGTGCTCAAAGGGAAACTCTCTTTGCTGTGTGATTCCAGAGCTTCCTCTTTGCAAAGGTGTGACATGCGAGGCCAACAGTGAATGTGTGGTAAGGGATGGGACAGCGATGTGTGACTGCAAGCTGGGCTACAGAAAAACTGGGAGCACTTGCCAAGGTGAGAAGCTTCTCTGTGACTTAAATGGTCCTATTTGGATAAGTCTTATTGCACTAGTATCTCGATCAGTGTGAATATAATCCCTAATTCACTGCAGAGGCTTAAGAACCTGATTTTTAGGAATCCCCTTAAGATTAAGACCTAAGCTTTTGTGTCTCCTCTCACTTGGTCCTGAAAGGAAGAAATGAGTTAAGAGTTGCAGGTTCTGTCTAGCACTCATAGGTATGTACTGAACAACCATGACAATGGGATGTTAGTGAGTCTGTACCAGTTTAAATAATTAATAAACTGGAGGATTTCTTTGCGGATCTCAAATCTAAGTTTATGAATTTTTTTTGTGGAAAGACAGTCAATAAAATGCATGTGATTAGCTAGCTATGGATCATTCTGCTTTCACTGTTCTTTTGCATTTTTTTCTGACCAAACTGCAGTTCCATATATCGTCAGATATGACAGAAATTCATAAGTAAATCCAAGCATCCTCTGTCACTCGTACTTCTGTTATGGAAATAACATGAAGAATGCCTCGTCCAAATTCCTCAGATTAAAAAACTCAAAACATTTGCTGTCTGAAGTTATTTTGTTTTCCAGGGAAATTTTAGTAGTTTTATAATACAAATTCCTTATACTCTATTCTTTCCAGGCCTTTTCTACTGTGCTGCAGTAAGTACTGTTTTTAAAACAGAAATATTATTACTCTCACCTCTTTAATTTGCAGCTCAGGATCCTTGTGCTGCTTCTCCATGCTCCCCTTTTGCTGTATGTAATGTTCTTGGACCACGAAAGTATAAGTGCACCTGCAAAGAAGGATATCAAGGAGATGGGAAAATTTGCCAGCCCATAAACCCTTGTGTTGACAGCAATGGGGGCTGCCCAGAAAACTCTACGATTTGTGTTTACAGACGTCCAGGGGAGGTAAGGGCAGCCCACAAGGGTTTGAAAAATGTCCAGGTGAGAAGTTCTTCAAATGAGCTCACCGTGGTGTTGGTCAAATCTGCTCCTCTCACCTTAGATTGTGCAAAGGGAAACGAGGCAGCTCTTTTGTAGGGTAACTTACTGGGTAAAAGATGATGAATGCAGCTCTAAAACCACTGTGTTGCCTTCCCTTAGGCGACCTGTATTTGCAAGCCTGGGATGAGTAGGACAACTCCTTCGTCCGAGTGTTCTGTCTTTGCCAACGATTGCCGGCAGTATTTTTGCGACATGACTGCCACATGTGAAATTAATTCCCAGGGGAATCCTAGGTAAGCCTGCTTAAAGACTGCTTAAAGAAGCTTGTTCTGCAGCTAGAATAGAAACTGAGATTGGATGAGTTGAATTTTGAAGAAACCGAGAGCTATCTGGGGAGAATGGGACAGAGTCACCTTTGAGGAGAGCCTGTTTTTAAGAAGCCCATTGAAAACGAAGAGTTTTACATCAGTCATTGTAAATTTTGTCATGTGAGTCAAAAGGTGCTTTAAATGTGGGGCAGCAGACTTGTGAGGTGAACTAGAGTTGTAGCTGCCAATATTGGGGGTAGTAGTAGGCTGCTATCAGTTAATAATCAGTCATTATAAGGGAGTTGTGTGACTCTTGTTTGCTCACATTTGCCGACACTGGATTCTGAGGACTAAGTCTTTGGCTCTCCTCCCCTTCAGGCCTGTAAGCAAGAAACAATTAGAGTTGCAGATTGACAGGGAAAGGGGAAAGACAAGAGAAGAAACACTAGACCTCATTTAACCCTCTGGAGCAAGACACACGGAAGTTGATACCCCTTAGATGGGAAATATTGCCAGATCGAAGATCTTTTTTGCATAATGGCCTCCCAAACATCAGAGAAAGCCTCATCAATGACTTTGTATACTACGAAGAAAAGATGGAGCTTTTCTGAAACACTGAAGATTAAAAGAGCAGTCCTATCTCCTTGACCCTTCCTTCTCCAGTGCTGCTAAAACTGTTAGCGTCCATCTGCTCGTTGTGTGCTCCAGGCCAGAAGTGAAACACAGGGGCTTCCCTTTCTGAAGACATACTAGCAAAGTGCAGGACACGGTGTACAGCACACTCCCTGACTTAGTATATCTGTTCTCCAGCAGCTGGCACTCAGCCCTCTGAGGCTGGAGTGATGTCAGATTCTTCCTCTGTGTCGTATGTCTTTGCGTCCCTCAAACAGAAAGAGCAGAGCCGATCCTTGGACAAAACCCAGACGGGAAAAAACATGGTTATCGTCCAGTGATCTTAAGTAGTCTCCGAGTGATGACTATAAGTCCGTGTGAATCAGGGCGGAGATTTTCACATGTAGATAAGGTTTTCTGGAAAAGTCATTAGCCTATCTGGGGCCCTCATTATGTCTAAGGCGAACTATAGCTAACCGATGTGCTTCAGCTGGCAGTTCTCACTGAAGCTGAGGGGTCACATAAGAGCCGTTTGCTGGATTTTTCACTTAGTCTATGGGGTTTATGCATTACCTCAAATTTTCAGATGCTGTAATGATTGGTACTGACTGAATACCTTATTAGAAAGGTGTTGATAAATATATTGTGGCTGTCTTTTCCCAAATTCTAGGGCAGACCATCTTTGTGTTAATGTCCTTAAGCATTTCACTCTCTTTGGGCAGGTCCAAATTTGCTTGCTCTTCAGACTTGCGCATCCATTTTTCTTGTCACTTAGTTTAGGCAGAAATTACTAAGCTTTTACCTACATCTTACGACTGGGATTTGTCTTTCAAGTGTAGATACTGACATATTATTCTACTTACATTTGTTGACTATGTTGCAGACTTTTATAATGGTTTGTCATGTTTTGTTTTTGTCTCTTAGCTGTGTGTGTAAAGAAGGAGAGATTGGAGATGGGAGAAGTTGCTATAAAGATCTCTTGAGTGAGATAAATCAGCATAATTCACGAGGAAGACTTGCTAGGAAATTAAATGTTGCCAAGAGAATGTTTGGTAAATGTCTTTTGAATTTGTTTGGGGAATGGAACAAATATGGGGACAAGAGTGTGTCAGCAAAGGCTAAAAGTCTTTCAGCAAAATAGATCTATTTGGCAGTGTATGACCTGCAAAATTAAGCATGTCACATCCGTGAACTCCTGTCACCAGTTCTGGACTGTGAATTCAGGAAATTTTTACAGAGAGCACTGTGGAGGAGTATTTGGTATTTGGCAGTCCTACCATATCTGCAGAAGAAGGAAAACTTCTTGCCTTGGAGGTGTGATTCAAATGCTTTTGCATCAGACCACCAGTGTGCCTCGAAGTGCAGTATCTCTGTTGAAAGCTCAGCAATTTTTCAGCTGTTCTCTAGTGGTGATGTGTGAGGATGGTGTGCCGTAATTCTTCTGCTTAGTAGAACATCCTTGCCAGCACACAGACACATGGCTCTTACAAAGATGTAAAGGCTTTACTCTACACACTGTGGTACTTTCTGAGTGAGGAATTGCTCAAAGCATAGAAGACTGCTTTAGAACCCGGGTAATACAAGTGTGGGCAGTGATATCCACAAAGGTTTATTTTTGCCTCCCTATAATCCATGTCAAAGCATATTTATGTCATATATCTTCTCCAGCTCATCCTCTGTACAGTCTTCTCCATCTCCACCAACTTGACAGGAGCATAGAGACAGAGCTGAAAGCTCATCTTTGCTTTTGTGAATACCCCTCACTGCTATGTATTAGTATTGCCAGCACTCACTTTTTGCATACGTTTTCCGTAATGATTTGTGCTACGGGCAATCACATGAAGATCTCTGGGCTCCTAACTAGTGTACAGCGGGACTTAATACCTAATGACCTTTGTTGGTGTGGACATTGTTGATGGGCCGTTGACAACTGAGTTGAAGACTGATGGCTGTGGGTTCATAGCAACTTCTCAAGAAGTAGTCTCAGTAAATGATGATGACACCCAAAAATTAGTTGTTTCAAGGGGAAGAAGGAGGACTCTCAGACCAAGAATCAGGTAGTAAGCATGTGGGAAGAAAATTATTATGAATGTGCTGCAAATTTCAGCAGCAATTCCAAGTGGACCAAAGTCACAAGCAATCCTTTAGAAATCTTTTAGGCAGGAGTTTAAAAGCAATAGCAGCCAAGCTGGACTGTGATACCAAATTCCTTCTGGTTCCTTGTAAACAAGTACTAGTTACTTGCATTAGACCAAAAATGGGTAGATTGAATAGTGCTGTTAACAAGAGGATTAATTATTGCTGGAGTTAAACCATATGCCAAGTAACTACTTCATGTTGCCGCTCTTTTTGCAGCTTCTGGTTGCTCAACATTGCTGACTAAATACGGGCCCTTCACAGTCTTTGTACCATCCCTTCTTCCGGCTCATGAAAGAATGGAGTTTAACGTAAGTTTTCTTGGTTTTAGCAAATTTTTGCTGTCTTAGGATTCTTTCCTGCCTGAGTTCTGCAGCCTGTAAAAGCTTATTGACACATGAGAGAGGAACTTTGGAAGGCAGTATTTATAGAAGCGATCTTTTCTGAAGACTCTTCACTGTCTGGTTAAGTTGCAGTCTCATAGAGGGTGTTACATTCCTTGCATTATTTTTAAAACCTCTATCTCTCTCTTCAATGTTGACAGAGTTTGTTTTTCATGTCAGGAAGTATAAGTATCAGGGTTTTTCTGGCCGTTTTTCATTTAAAGTTCAAACCTCCTGCGTGTGACTGTTCTTAAAACTTCAGGTGGCTTTTCACTACTTAGAAGTGGGGTTTGCAAAAGGAGCTGAGATTTGCATAGAAGTATTGGATTGGGGCCTGTGGCCCTACATGTGGGTATAGTGTCCACTTCTTGAGAAGAGCTCGTTTTATTGATGAGGACAGCAAATTTGGCAGGGCTGGAGAAAACCGTTATGGGAGCCAGGACAAGAGTTTGAGAATTCTAGGGTTAAGCAAGTAGCTCTTGCAGATCATATTATTGTTTTATTTATTTTTAATTAAATTGTGTTAATTTGTGGTAGGTTTTGCACAATTAACCCCACAACCAAGTGATCCATTATTAGCATGAGAAGGTGTATAAGCCATTCTCCCAGGACAGAACTAAAAATCAGCACACCTAAGCTTCAAATGCAGCAAAGTGCCTGTTGTGTTTCAGGTGGCAGTTAGCTTTCAGCTAGCACTCAGGTATGATAAGATAGATGTCTTATAAATAATCCAGACAGGCCAATCCAATTTGAACATTGCATTTTCAACTTATTTAGAAATATAATTTCTTTGCTTGATAGTAAAGCTATCTATGCAGTGGCAGTAACTCACGTAGAGTCTAGGGAGCAACTCCTAACCTACAAGTGCCAGGGACTAGCTGTCTCGTGCTACCTTGGTGAGCAGAGGTTTCCAATAACACAAATTACACTCTATGCCTAGGTCATCCTGGTAGCTTCCGGATTCATAGAATGTAAGTCAGGAATGGCCCCTAAGTTATCCAATCTACCTGTTCCCACAAGGATCAGTTCCACCTGAATCATTATTGACAGAGGATTGTCTTAAAAAAACACCAGTGTTGAAAATCCCAGAAAAGAAAAGAAGAAACTAAATATAAATTCAGCAGCTTACACCAGCTACATGGTCCAACATAAGCAAAGATTGCATATGGGGGGCTTCAGCAAGTTTTAAAATCTGGAGCAGATTTTATAAACTGGATAGTTTTCCAGTTGTCCAGTCCTATAGGTTTCTGTCTAGAGGATTCCACTAAAGTCTCTTGCAGGTTAATCAGTCTCCCTCTGTTTAAATGTCTACACAAACAGAAGCAAAAAAAAATGTCATAATACTAACTCCAGTGAAGCAAAATGAAGAGGGAAGCCAAATCTTGTACACTAAGAATGTCTCTGGGTGTATTAGCTGGGAGAGAGATAATGTTATAGATTTTTAAGTAAATGAGGTTTTTGAAAGAATGTGCAATTTCTCTTCTTCATGTGATCTTTATTCCCCAAAGGATACGACTGCTGAGCGTTTGTGCAGAATGCACATTGTTCCTGGTGTGCATTTGATAGAAGACATGATAAAAGCCAAGACTCTGTGGACCTTGTCAGGACATCAGCTGACATTCAGTAGCCAGGTAAAGGATCTCCTGAACTATAGTCCTGGACTGTTGCTTTCATGTTGGGCAGACTGGAACTTGAGCATAGTTTCCTTGGAGCACTTTCTTAGCCAGAAACCTTTTTTCTCTAATCAACCTGTCTTTGATGAGAACAAGAAGCTCCTTTGTGGAGTCCAAAGCAAGGTGATTTAAGACAGACACCCCAAGCAAACGCTTCTCCTGTCTTCCAGACAACCAGTTAGCCAGAATCTGACTTGAAAATGCTCTTTCCTTGCTCTGCGTATGTATTCTGGAGAAGAGACCTTCTCCCTACATCATTAGCAGCTACAACATCCACATGGCTGACGTGGAAGAGGCAGCAAAGTCTCTCTTCGGACTAAATGCTTCTCCTTGCAAATTGTGTGCTTGTCTGAATATTTTCTCTTCCAGTTGCCCTTTTCCCCTCTTTCTGTTTCTTAGTCATCCCAGCAAAAAGTTTTTCATCATTGTGTTCTGATATGGAAGGCCTTTTTTCCCTTTTCCCTTTTTCAATTTACTCATATTTTCCAACATCCACTGTTCATCCTCCATCCTGCACCTTTCCTGCATGCATTCTCACAGCTGGCCCAGGGAGAGCTCTGTGTTTCCTCTCTGAGGATCCAGCCTTGACCTTGAGGTCTAGGTCGTAATACATGCACCCTGCATACATCAAAAGGACAAAACACTATTTGGAGCCGGGGAATCCAAACTGAGCTTGTCAATGCTCCTTTTAAATTTCTTTCCTGTTGGCTTACTCAGGATTCTTTTGATCTGGGAAGTCTGCCCTCCCCTTCCTTTGTTCCAGCCAGCATCCTCAGTGATATCAACTAAAGTTCAGTGCAGGGAGGAGCAAGTCAAGAAATGCACATGGTGAGATGAAAAGCACGGGGAAGTTGTGCTTGCATGATATTGAGTTGTGGCTGCAGCACCAATACCTTGATGCTTAGTTTGTAGGTTACCCTTGGAACAGCTCCATATGCCCAGCGTGATTGTGTGCAATATGGAAGGACTGGATATGTGCCTTATAATTTTGCTAGCCTGACTGTTTTGCCTTTGTTATGAAGAGAGTAACAAAAGTAACTCCAGTTGTGCCTTTGTCTTGCTGATCCACAGGCAGAAACCACTGAAGGGAATAATGATTTATAGCTCTATCCAGATACGCTACAAGAAAATAACCTTTTATTGTTATCTAGACATACGTCAAATGGTTTCGATATCAAGACCTGCCGGGGGAACTGTACAATGTTTTGCAATCGAACCTACCAGCAGCTAATGGCATCATACATATCGTTAACTCCCTGAGGAAGAAAACCAGTATTGACAACCTCAGAAACTCACAGGTACACAGACATTTGTATTTCTTCTGTTCTATTGGGCAACAGAATAAACACTTAACCTACTGTTTTCATCATTAGACTTCCAGTTCACTGAGGCTTTTCTTAAAGGGAAAAATCTATTTTTTTTCAGCTCCTGCTAAGGCCTGTTAGGCACTATTATGTCAGCATACCGTTAGAAATAGCTAACAGCACTGTGTGAGCCTGATACAGACCTCACAATGATAGATATTGAAAAAGCATTTTTTACATGAAAATCAAATGAAGATTTGCTTTAATCCATCTGTACTGCATTTTGAAATTATAATTAAAAAGTTGTCTTTAAAATATAGTTGACTTTAAAATATTTTAAATTAGGACAAATGATCATTAGGCTTTTATGTTTTGGACTCATGTCTTGAATTTTACACACTGGGCAAGGGCTTCGCGTTCAAGTTTTGCTAAGAGCTTTTCTCTGTTAGCTGGGAGAAGTTTTTGCTGTAGCTAATACATTGCTCTACCTGAGCATTTTTGTATTGTTTCTGTATGTGGAAAGCAGGCCCTGTTACCTCCTACCTCCTTGAAAAAAATTGCTCAGAGGGTGACACGAGCTCCTGGATTTGGTAGGATATTGGAAATAGTTTGCACTTACTTTACAACATTGTAATTAATCTATAAAAGCAGTCAGACTGTGTAATATTGTGGTTGTATTTTGTGTGTTTAAAAAGCAGCTGGAATGTTGTGTTGAGTGCTAGTAGCTCTTCAGCTGAAGTGCCCTGTGAATGATTTATCAATTGTGCAAGTTTTGGGTGTTCATATTAATTTAATTTCCCCATCATTGATGATTATGTCTCCTGTTACTTAAGATGCTCTCAGTCTTCTCACCTGCATGAAAATGTTTTCCAGATGACAGTGTCTGAGGTCTGAGCTGGACCTCTGTGTTTGTGTGCTCAGGTACCTGCAGGGAAGGGCTTGCAGCTGCTCTGGGATGGCAGGACAGGGAGGGAGCTCTCTGCAGAGCTTGTCGTTCTCTGGTATCCTTCACATGTTTCCTTCCCGTGTGATGGTGGCTTTGCAATGAAGGCTAGTGGTCATGTCAGCTGTTTTGGCATCAAATGTATCAATCATAGAATGGCCTAGACTGGAAGGGACCTTAGAGATCATTTAATCCAGCCTCCCTGTCATGGGCAGGGACGCCTCTCAACTAGATCAGGCAACACGTGGGGACCGAACAGGGATGTCCCTTGGAAATAATGTTGCCTCTTCGTGTTCTATGGGAAGCACTTGCTGCCAAAAAAAAATGCAGATTCCTGCAAATAAAGGTCAGACAAGTCCTTTCCACAAGTTTTGATAGTTGAAGGGACATTCCTCCTGTTACCTTTGCCTTCATGGATAACATGACAAAAAGGAAAGCATCTTATTTCCTCTGTGTTTTCAGAAATATCCAGACATATTGTATTTTCTCAGCACTGGGCTCATTTGCAGGTGGCAGAGTGAACTCCTCAAAGCACAGGGAGCTTTGAGATGCCAGAGCAGCTCCACTGCCTACCAGCCCAGACCTGATTTCTGTACTGCTGGAAGTGGTGTGGCTCTAATTTTAATGATAATCAGTAGACAGCAGTAGGAATACAAAATGATGCTCAAGTGCATGGTACCTTGGAAAATCTGTTTTGCTGTGCATGGGAAGGAGCTGTGACTAAGTTACTGCAGGCTTAGTCCTTTATAGGTCGACTGGCCAATACAGAGGGTTTGAAGACTTCAAGGACAATGGTTTTCTGTAGGCAAACTACAAACGTAAACTGGCCAAGGGCATTGCAGTATGTGCTCAGACCTCACTTCTGCCCCAGCCTTTTTCTCCTCATTATATCTTCTTGCAGAAAACCATTGGTGAGATCATTGCTTCAATGGAGATCTTCAGCAGATTTGAAACTATACTGGAGGTAAGCATGTTTGTGTCTGCCCCAGGAAGGTGTGGTGTTGCTGCTGTTGCAAAGCCTGCTGCTGGTTTTTTGTGGGAATTTTGAATAACACTTAAATACATCTCAGTGGTGTGGCTTGCTTTCTGGATGCTTTTTCCTGTCATTTCTTCTTAAGCAAATGTGATGGAAAAGATCAGAGTTTTCACAGTGCAAGCAGCAAGTATGCATGTCTCTCCCATCTGCTTCCCCACCTCCCTTCCCCTCTCTCCTGGAGAGTTTGTTCTGCAAATCATGTTTAGTTCTTGACCACTGTCAGGATAAAGAGTGAACGTTTGGTGAACTCTCTGTGCCAAGCTAGATTGTAGCTATTTGGTTTTGGGCTGTAGGTTTCTAAATAAAAGCAGTACTCAGCTTATAAACCCTTAAGGCTGCTTCTCAGGATTCATTTAGTTCATATTTTCACTAGGGACAGACTGATGTTCCTTTTACTTCCATCAGCGTCATCTGGATCTGCTCTAGCATTGCTCATAACCATCTGGGCCTTCCTATTTTCAGCTCTGTGGCTATTAGTTGCTTGCAAAATTCACTAACTGCAATTGTGATCATAGACTTGATTCTCTTTTTCTTCTTTTCAGGCAAAAAGATACAGTTTTAGTCTCTGTATATGTACTTGTGCATTTAAGGCACACAGGGAGCATTAGTCCAGTGCTCCCTTGTTCCCGTTAGCTGCGTTCAATCTAGCAACTTCATTGTCCAAGCTATGTTTTTGTGACGTTTAAGCCACTGTTATATTACATACCTATCCTTGGTGTCTTGTTGTCTCTTGTATACATTTGCTTTTCAATAGCTCTGCCTGTAGTGGGTTGCTTAGAGTTTCCTGATCAACCCCCCTCACTAATTCATGCTGTATTCATGGTGAAAGCTTTTATTGCTTTTGCAGAACTGCGGCCTGCCGGCTATACTGGATGGACCAGGCCCCTTTACTGTGTTTGTACCCAGCAATGATGGTGTGGATAAGTTGAGAGATGGAAGACTCATTTATCTTTTTACAGAGGTGAGAGCTTGTAGTACTTCAAGACATCCTGGACTGGCTGTGTTTGAATGGCTTGTGCAGTATATCTGATAATTGCTGAAAGCTGTTCTTCCTGGAAATGGCTAAACCATGTCTCTCTTTCTGTAAGGCTTTGGGAGAGATGAGTGAATTCTGGTGGAACCTGCAGTGAGAAATATGGTTAGCCAGATTGCTTAAATCTGATGTCTGGCTTGCTTTGAGTAGGGGAACTTACTCACCAAGTGAATTCGCTGCTATAGTACGTTGGCATTGTCAGTTATTGGTTAAAAGAAAATGTAGTTGCCTCCTCTACTCCCGAGCGTTGAAGGGGTATCTAATTCTTGTTATTTTCTTTCCTTAGGGCATAAATAAGCTTCAGGAACTTGTGAAACATCATATCTACACTTCAGCAGCGGTAAGGCAGGCAGCTCTAATTCCAGATAGTTGGGGTCCTTAGGACCAGCATGTTATCAACTGCATTTGGTGTAGGGGTCGGGTTATAGATGACTTCAGCTGCTACTTCTTGGACTTTCCCTGGCGGAGCAGAGATGTGATTCAGGATCTGATGAGGCAAAATGTTTCACTCTAAGTTTCCTGGGAGTGATGGTGCTCCTTAGCTGGATGGCCTTTACAAAGAAAATATTGTCTGTCAGAGTTTGCTGCAGGCAAATGCTCTCTTGTTACCACTTTAGTTTGTTAAACTGTTAATTAGGAGTGTAGCTTAATCATGAACTCTCCAGCCTACAGTTTCGCTAAAACACTAATAGCAGCAGCACAGAAATTTTAGCCAAGTGAAATGCTGGTCCAAATTCTGGGCTGCTTTTTCTCTTTGCTTGGGCTCCAGCTGTGGCTGAAGGAAGAGATGGAGGACTGGTGCAAGTGACTTTGTGATCTGACCCGGTGCTGACAATGCTTGCACTAACACTGCTGTGTACTATGATGACAGGGTGAATAAAAGCAACACAGTGCGTCAACAAGACATTTCCCCTGACACAGTAAACAAAGGAAATATTTAAAGATAGACACAAACCTGTGAAGGAAATGAATACTCAAGCGTTATGTTACAATGCCATGTCCTTCATTAAGAAATACGAATATACCCATTCTTCACTGAGAAGCAAATGTCAAATTTTCTTAATTGCAGTAGAGAAAATTAGCAGCACTTCAACAATTGCTTGCAACTGACAAATAACATGGTAACAAGAACACAACGGTAGCTCTTGTCTTGGTTCTCAGAACTTCTCAAATCCTGAAGTTTCTCAGAAGAGTAGCTGCAGTTTACATTTTTTTCTACCTTTAGAATTTACCTTACTTATTAAGTCAGAATATGTTTTCTATTATGCTTCTGGCTGAGCTTTCATTCTTTATTAAATATGTCCCAGAAATATTCTGACTCTACTTGTAGCTGACTGAGTAGGAGACAACATTAGAGAGACTTGATTTCAGCTGTGCTGGACTGTTCCTTACACAAGGAATGGAAGCCAAGGCTGCTGCCTCTGGCACTGCTGTGTTTGTGGTATGGCAGACAATTTGCACAGAGTCCTGGCTTTCCCTCTGACCTATTGTTCGTGTTTAAGGTATTTAATGAAATGTAAATGTTAAAGCCAAGTCCCCTTTAAAAGATTTTTTTAAGTGGCAGGAGTCATGGAAGGATTCCGTAAGCTGTACTGAAATGACTCTGCTTTTTCATGGTACTATCCCCTTGTGTTTTTATTTCAGGTGACTGTAGAGAAACTAATAATGATGCCACACATTGTTACTATGGCTAACCAGATACTTACCGTCAACATCAGTGCAGATGTAAGTATGGATCTTGGGGCAAACCCTATTGTGCTAGGTGAAAGTGTGGGTGTGGTTTCAATGTGGTTTCAGCTCATCTCTGAGCTTCCTCCGAGGCTTAAAAAACGAGGCTTAAATTAAGTCATTGAATTAATTTGATTCTTATCCAACCTGTGACTTCACTAAGAGGCTGGACCATCTGTGTGGTTGCACTTGATGTTGTATATCATCTGTTTTGTGCACTGGCTTTGTGTTTCTGCATCAGGGAAGAATTCTGATGGATGAATCAGGGATCCCCTTAAACAAGAGAGACATTGTGGCATCGAATGGTATTATTCATAGCTTGGATGGCATCTTCATCCCTCCTTCAATAATTCCAATTTTGCCTCATAGATGCAATGAAGAGCAACATAAAATTGTGGCGGTAAGTCAGCTTCTCCCATTCTCACACTACTGGTTACTGTAGACTCCACACTCACCTAAAGGGAGAAAAGTAGGCTGTGTAAATTCTCTCGGAAAGATCCCTGGATGTGAACTTAGGCAGTATTAGCACCATCAGTGTTTCTTCTGCTGGCACTTGGCACTGCTCTCCTGGCAGTCAGCAAATGTTCCCTGTAGGTTGTTGTTCTTTTCTTGCATTGTCCTCCCTTTGATTCAGGAGTACATTTGCCTTTTCATAACACCTTATATGATATTCTTCACACCACAGTTGCTAATTCAACTGACAGCGCTTTGTTCCCATCGCTATCAGCACTGGTGTCCTGCAGTCTGGGCAGGAAACAGCCATACAGTAGCAGGAGCTACAAATGCTATGTGACATTCTTACCTAAACAGTTTTGTATACTTTATTTTAGGTTCTTGCTCCCCAGTTTGGTCACTAGTAGATTACTGAAAAAAGAGGATGAGGCTCTGAACAGGCAAGGGGTACCTCATCTGAAGAGATACAGTTAATCCCAAGCAGCCAGGGGGTTCACATAACTTGCTGTTTAGTGAGGCCAGCTGCATGGATACCCAAAGTGTTTTCCAGCATAGCTGCGTGTTGTGACTGATAGACTCAAGTTGGGAGACAGGCCCCATCTTGCAGTCAGGTGTAAGTATCTCCTCAGGACAAAGGAGTTGGTTAAGTGATGAGCTTACTCCCTTGCACACTGTGGAAACTCCCTCCTAGGAATATTTCTGATACATGTTGTGATGCTTTGGATATATTCTGACAACAGTAGCTCTGTAATGTTCTTGGCATGAGGAATGGGTTCCTTTAAGAAGGCTAAGTTTTCCCCTCTTTTTTTTTGAACAGGGCTCTTGTGTGGATTGTGAGGCCCTCAACAGCAGTGTTTGCCCACCTGGCAGCAGAGAAATGGTAAAAATTTGTGGTTATTTCAGTAATTTCTTCTTTCCATTATGACATACAGACACACTGATAAACAATTTCTAACCCAAGCCACTTTCAAATAAAGAGCAGGAAAGGCAAGCCTCAGTAGCAAGGCTTGCTAGAGGATACGTACTTCCCACATACCCATGTTCTGTGATCCCAGACCCTTACCCACTAGCTGCTTTGTGCTGTTGCTTGTTCTGAAGTCTGTTTGCTGAATCAATGGAGAGAACTGTGAGACAGTCTGGGCTAAATGAAATTGTAGACTTGCAGATTTTAGCACTTCTGCTCTGCCTCAGGCAGAGCTTTTCTGCTCACATGCTGAGTCCGCCAGCTCCTCCAGATGGCTAAAACCAAGTCCGATCCCACTAATACCATCCAGTACTACCACTGCCTATACCATGGCCAGAGAATCACAACGATCTTTCTGTACTGCAGAGAATGGGAAACAACTTGTTCTTGGCCTGTGCTCCTGGGCAGTTCAGAGATGAGCAGGACTAGCTGAAGGTGGAGTAAGGAGGAGGAGGCTGGGTGTTAGTGTTTTGAGTTATTCCATGCTGAGTTTAGCAGAACAGCAAGTTCCAAGAAATCCCCATGTGAAGGCCAGGCCCAAGATGTTATTTGAGAAAGCCAGGGAGGTGTTCATCACTGTTAACTGCTGGATGTCTTTGGGGAACTTGCTGATGTGTTCTCAGCATGAATGTCTGAAGTAGAGATCTGCAAAATCAATAGTCAGTCTTTTTCCTCTCTGACTGAGGTAGGTGAAGCCAGAATCATCCGAGGCTCAATACTGCTCATGTCTAACTCCGTGACAGGTCACTGAGCATTGTTCCAAAATTATTCGCACTCCTTTCCTACCTGTCTCCCTCCCTCCTTCTCTCTCTCACTCCCCCTCTCCCTCACTCTCCCTCCCTCCTGCCTTTGCCCCCTCTTCTTCATCTTTTCTCCTTCTTTCTTACCCTCTAATTCTTGCTCCCTCTGCTTTTCTCCTGCTTGTCTCCTTCCTTCCCCTCTCTCCGTATCTTCTCTCCCTATGCTCAATCTCTCCCTTCTCAGAGACACTATTATTGGAACAAAAGGGCAGCACCTTGGCTCTCACGTAGGGACTGTAGGGAGCAAGAGGAAGACACTGCGTGCCTTCTTTCATGATAGGAACACCATAATGGTATCTCATTCACCTTGACTCCTCTGTGAACTTCCTCAGTTCATATAGGCATGGTTGCTTTCTGCAGCAAAAAGGGCAAAGGGGAAGGTTACAGTGCTGATAACTTGTTTTGTTTTTACAGGAACCAACGCTTTTCCCAAAGGAATGTGTCTACATCCATGATCCCCAAGGCCTGAATGTCCTGAAGAAGGGATGTGCCAGATACTGCAATCAGACTGTAACGGTGAGTGTGATGGAAGACCACGTTCCCTTTGAAAGGAGCTCGGTTTTGCTGTTCCTCATTCATCAAGAAGAGTGCTGACTCTTTGAGCTGAGAGTGGGCTGGATGGGAGCAAAAGGAAGGTTGTCCCATGCGAAGGGCTGTCCCCAGCTGCCTGCTTTTTCTTTGGCAAACAGAGAGAATACAGGGTACCAACCTGCTGCAAACGTTAGAAAGTGGCTCAGTTAAACCTGAGTACAATAAATAAAGCACACCAGTTGTGACCAGCCACGCTGGAGGAAGCCATGAGACAAATGGTGCAGCGTTAACTGTGGCACGTTTTCTTGAGAGTGCCCTGGTTTTAGCATTTCTTCCAAAGGAAGCTGAGCTTGGGGAAAGTGCTGTAAGCCGTGAAGTGATTGCATCCTGTTTATGGAACACTGACAGATGTTTCTCTTAGTGAGTTTATGGACCTCACATTTGTCTGTAGCTCCTGAGCATTGACAGTGCCAACTATATGGAATGATTTGTGGGTATTTCATTACATACTGCTGATTGTTTGTTTTCCAATTGTTCTTTTATTGGTTGGTTGTGACAACACCTGTGATCCTGGACTGCTACATCCCTCCAAAGGAATGCAATCATCAGCAAAGACAAAGTAGGAGTGAGTGGGCCTGCACTATTAAAGAAAAAGAAGCCTCACAGAGAGCATGGACCCTATTTGTTGAAATCATAGAAAGAGCAAAAAATAGTGATTTATTCTGAGAAGAATAGGCTGTGAGCAAAAAGAGGGGAATTGCTGAAAAATTATCTAACTGCAGGAGCTCCTGGAAACACAGATGCCAAATGAGACAGTCTCATTTTAGTCCATGGCAGAGAGGAGGACCAGGATTTCACAATTAGGAGAGCAGGATGACTCCAGACAACTCTCGTGAAGTCATGTTGTACTTTACCAATTTCGCTTTTGTTTCAGAAACCTGGATGCTGCAAAGGATTCTTTGGTCCAGACTGCATGCCATGCCCAGGGGGATTTTCCAGTCCATGCTATGGCCGGGGAAATGTAAGTATGAAAGATTCTGCTCTGTTGCAATGAGTGGTTGAGACAGTGGGGTTAGAGAGTGTAGTTGTAGGTAAGTACAATTCAGAATTTATGCTCAAGGGCTAAGCCCACAGCAGTGGCACGCAAAAGATCCAGTGAGAATGGCGTGTACTCAGTGGGTTTTCTATCTTGAGCTCTAATGTGAATCATGTCATGGCTATTTGGGGCAGCTCTGGCTATGGGGGATTTTGTATTACTACCACCACTCTCCAAAGTCTTATTTTTTAATGCAGGTATCAAAGTGCCTTTGATAGATATCAACATCTTGGTTTTGCCTTGGTTCCCTGAGTTTCGATCACCTTGATTTAATACTTTTTATTTCCTTCCAGTGCAGCGATGGCATACAAGGGAATGGCAACTGTCACTGCTTTGAAGGTTTCAAAGGAATAGCCTGCCACATCTGTTCAAACCCAAACAAACACGGCGAGAACTGTGACGAAGGTTGGTAATTCTGATAGAGAGACTAGAGGAAAATGTCGGGCAACAATATAGTGCAGGTTCATGTATCCTGGATTCTTTTCTGGTAGAACCAGTGTCACAAAAGGAATGATGGAAATGTCATTGTGGGTGTCCCTTCAAAGAACAGTGGAGAAAATATGGCTTATATAACAGTGGTGTTGGGGATCTTGGTAAAAACAGACAAATTTAGGTGTGGGGCTTTGATTCAGTTCTCTTCTGCCAGGAAAAAAAAAGGCAGTTGACTTGAGCTTGATTGCTTATATTTGAGCCTGTCCTTACAGCCTATAAGAAGCACAGACCAAGGCAATCACGGGATCTGTTCCTTGGGCAGGTTTTTGGTAATGATGGATGTCTCTCAAGAGATGTCTTTCTGTCAAGAACAAGCAGGATGATCATTTGGTGTCACAAGAGAAGGCTGGGAATCTGCAAAATGCCATCACTATTGCGGACTCTGGACCTTTTGTAATTACTGATCTTAGTCCATGTACTTGACAGATTGTGGTTGTGTCCACGGTGTCTGTGACAACAGGCCTGGCAGCGGTGGTGTGTGTCAGTCCTGGTCCTGTAAGGAAGGCTATACGGGGAAATTCTGTGACAAGACATCCAAGAACTGTGGCCCAAGCGGGCTGTCCCAGTACTGCCACCAGAACGCTGTCTGCAGCCTCAATGACACAGCAAGGTGAGCCTTTGCCATGCGCCTGCAGGGGTGCACATTGTCATTGTACAGGCACACAGCAGGTGCGAGGCTTCCAGCCCTTAATGGTATATATATGTTTGGTGTACTTGTTGCACAGGGTTGTTTGAATAACACAGCCAACCTGCTAGAAATCAAAGTCAGGTTCTTGCTTGCTTGAGAGACTCAAACTGCCTTTTTGCTCTCTGCTGGCTTTCAGAAGGGACTGCTCTAGCTGTGTCCCTTCTGTGCTTATATTTTTAAGGTGCATCTGCATGGATGGATACGAAGGTGATGGGTTTTCCTGCCAGCCCATTGACCTGTGCAGTCAGCCAGAACGAGGAGGATGTTCACAGAATGTGAGTGGGGTCAGACTGTTCAAGCGTGGAGAAGCAGCTCCTATCGATCAGAGCAGGGATCCAGAACTCCTGGGACTGTTTTTGTGTGCTAACTTTCCCTATCTGTAAGATAGGGTGGAATAGCGGGTACCTTGACAGTAAGGATGTCAGTCATTTAGGTTGGTGCCAAAATGCAACACCCCAAGGAGAGTTTTGCTGGTACACACCAGATATTTTGGCAGCTACAGAGATTAGCTGTACAGATACATTTTTGTTTGTATTGATTTTCCGTTTAGGCTCTTCTAATGTGTGTTAGTGTCTCTGTTGCTGTGTTCAGGCTGTAGCCTAACTTTAAGTTCCAACTAATGAACCATCAACACTACATTATTATCCCTAGTGAAAAACTGTGATGCTGTATGATGGAAGGGACTGCCAAATGGCCAGAGCTCATTGTAATTTAGACCCCTCAGTGAGAAGAACACATTGGGCTTTAAGAAGGAAATAGGATGAGTCTTTCCTGAGGGAGATGTGCCCTCCATCACTGATTCCATTCTGCATGTCCAGGCAGGAGATTGTGTTTCTCCTTTTCAAGGGATATTTCTTCTGTAATGAGAGAGTTTTACAGGATGATGGGAGTGCCCTGGGAGTTTTGAGCCACTCTAGACACAAGTGTCTGCCTCTGAAAACACAAAATCTTTCTAGAATCACTGTATTATGAAGTTGTCTATGACTTTTCTGGAGAAGATGCTTCCACTTCCAACTGAAGTTCGTCATTCAGAAATTAAGTCTGATGAGGGAGATCTGTTGCTGTATTTGCACTGTACTTCTTCCCCTCTTCTGCTGAGTGTAATTCTTTTTCTCTCCCTTCTCGTGAAGGCCCTGTGCACCAGTACAGGCCCTGGCACTGCCACCTGCCAGTGCAACACAGGCTGGACTGGGGACGGGAAGGTCTGCGTGGCTATAGACAACTGCATGCTGGAGAGCAGGGGGAACTGTCACATCAACGCCGACTGCATTTATATTGGCCCCGGCCAGGTATGATCAATCCTGAGCAGCCTCTTGGTGGATTTGACATTTCCTTAGCTGCTCCCACATGGCCTTGGACCATCCAAAAAGGATCTGCAGATGTTCAGGTAGTCCCTAGAGGGAGTTGAGGCAGGAGTCAGACATCTTGAGATAGTGGAAGGTGCACAGGAGAGGTGGCTTCTTAAGGTGCTTCGCTCCCTGAGCAAAGGGAGCATTGGACAATGTGCTGAGGAAGTCCAAGTACTTTCCTAGCAAGAAAGCGGAAAGCTTTGAAATTAATGCCTCTTCTCTTTCTGCCATTCACAAAGCCTGTGTCATTCCTTGAAATACTGGAAATAGGGATGGAAGCAATCATCAAGTGACCCCCTCACAGCCAAACAGTGGAAGGGATCAATGCAGTCAAGCAACCAGGCGGCGTGTGCTGTGAAAAAAAATGATGCTCTCCTAAGGAAATATCTTCGCATTTCCAGGTCTTGAGGGACCAGGAAGAAAACAGAAAACTTGGGAAAATAAATTAAGAATAGATTTTTTTGGCTAGCAAATGAGGATACTGTGAGAAGTCTGTAAAACTGAAATGTCTCTTTCTTGCAGAGCCAGTGTGTCTGCAAGAGGGGTTATGCTGGTGATGGCCACAACTGTGATGCCATCAACCCATGCCTCATGGACAACGGTGGCTGCCATGATTTGGTGAGTAGCTGAAGAGCTGTCCCACGGCTAACATGGCAGTGGAAGTTCTTTTGCATCCTGACAGAGGTTTTCCAGCCATGGTGTCGAGAGTCTTGCAAGGTTTTGTTATGTCATCTTACTGACTGAGGTGTAATAAAGGTGCTTCCTCTGACTTTTGTGAGTTCACACAACCAAAGCTATCACCTAGGCTTAGCTGCATGAGGTGTAAATTTGGGGCCACTGTAAAGGCAGCAGGAGGAAGATGCTTGCGTCTTCTTCTCTAGCCTATCTTAGATAGGAGTGACACTTCAGAACTTGTGTTTGCTCTCTAATTTCCCCTTTTCCTTGTATTTGTAGGCTATGTGTGTACCCCTTGGTGGAGGAGAGAGATCCTGTACATGTCCCGAAGGCTATATGGGGGATGGCATGACATGCTATGGGGATGTTCTAAAAGTGAGTAAAAAGCAAATGTCTGAGGTCTTCTTGAAATGGCTCTGCTCTCACTTTCCTGTCTTCTGAGTTGATTCCTCCTCCCAGCACCAGCCTAACAGCACAAGTGTGTCCCAAAGCCACAAGAATAGACTGATGCCAAGGCCAATTATTGCCAGTGAAACCATTGACAATAATTCTAAGCTGCTTCACCCTCGTCTGTCCTGTGCAATAAGTAATCTTTTCTGTTTTTGTTGGGAAGATTTTTCAAGTCAGAGCCTCTAGACCCATTTTCTGTCATTAGAAACATCAGTGGTCATAGTGGATTCAATCCCTGTCCCTGGTAAACGTGAGCAATTGCAGATGAGTTGAAAAGATTTAGTTTATTTGGGAATGTATTTTTTAATGGCTGAAGTTTGGTTTTAGGAATGCCTATCCTTCCCAGTGATACATGGTGCTTGTAATGGTTGTGAGATAAGGGGAATGTCTAAGTCTTAAGTGCCAAATTTGATATTGCAAAGGGCTCCTTTCCCCTACACCGGGTCTCTGAGCCCTGCAGCCCCAGTGCTCAGCATGTGTAACCCTTCTGTTATTTCTATTTGGAAGGAGCTGGCCAGTAATTCCCACTTCACAGGCTTCTACGACTGGGTTAAGGTAAGAACAGCCATGGGGTGCCTGCATGGGTAAGTTTTGCAGAAGTGAATTCTCTGAATACTGCTGTTAGAGGAAGAGCAACTCCATTTATCTTTCTCATTAGAGAAAAACAAAGCAACAGCGAAGGAGAAATCATTATAGAGCAGGCATATAGGAAAGCTCTGGAGTTGGTGATAGAGTGAGGATCATGAGTGTGTTTTGGGGGCCTTGCTCCTAGCACAGGAGGAAGCTGTGGCTCTGTTACACTTAATTTTCATGGTTGCAACCGCTGCCCATCATGAAATAGCACAGAAAAGAAAGAAAAAGGGGTAGCATTGTAACAGCTGTTTTTCAGAAGAGCATAATTCGAGAAGTTAGACTGTATGTGTGTTCCTTTTCTTGTTACTGCTTCTGAGTCTCCCATGTGGCAGTAAGAGACATTCTGCCGACTGCAACAAATCTGCGGAAGCGTGCGAGGATGTACAGCATCTAACTGAGCTTTAGCTTACCTGTCCTTCTGCATACATTGCTTTTGCCAGGAGTAATCTTGATCCCTCCCCCCAAACTGATGTTGAGGATTCAGAAAAGATTTATGGGTATGACTGAATGCTTTTGAAGATTAATCAAAGTATGAAAGTAGGGCTTAGAGGTTTTCCCTTGGCAAACAAGTGTCAGCTGTTTGGCTAAACCACCCATGGCCTTCATTTATTGCCAATAGCACTTACATGCCATGCCTAGGAGAGCCTGCTGTGCTGCTGAGCACGTGCTGTCTTTCAGCACATCCCTTTCATGCGACTGCAAGAACGGGATGGCTGTTAGTTATATTTTGCGGTATAGATGCGGCAGTGGCATGTCTTTATTTGTTCATTTTTGTGCTTTGGACAACAGAAGTCTCTCTTCAGCATCCCAGCAGGAACCAATGTCACTGTCCTGGTGCCATCGGATGCAGCTATCAAAAACTTGAGCAAGACTGAGAAAGATTTCTGGTTGACTCCCTACATGCTGCCATTTTTAGTCAGGTATAAACGTCTCCTGCCTTTGCTTTACTATGCTAAACAACAAGATCGAAGCTGTGAATTGGATTTCTGCTTTTACAAGACCAATAAAGAGTTATCCTGAGATAAATATAGAAGCAAGACTAAATATCTAGCAGGCAAAGAATTTAGTAGGCATTTAAAACATAGCAGACCACAGGCAATGGGAAATGGGTTTATTTTTCAGGTATTTGTAGAGAGATATTTTTCCCAGCCATGTAGATGCAGATGGCATCAGGACAAGTAATTCCCTCCATCATTCTCTCCATGTGCTTAACTGCTTCCTGTGAGAGACATGAACGTTGAGTAGTAGTATGGTCTTATCTCCCTGTTACTACAAACAGTGCCCTAATCTTCTCTTTACCTGCCTTTGTTCCCTTCAGAGCCCACTTTCTTGAAGGTGTCTTCACTGGTGAAAAGCTCAAAAAGTACAACAAGCCAGAATTACTCACCCTCAACCCACAGACCAGATGGCAGATAAACACCAGTAGCGGTGTAAGGATTTCTTATGTAATGCACATGTACCAGTATCAAATTAAACTGCCCGAGAGCTCCTGTATCTAGTGAGGAGCCCTCAAACTCAGTCTTCTTTCAAAAATTTTACCCAGATCGATCATGTGCAACCTTGAACAAACAACATATTTGTTTTGAACCTGCTCCACAATTTCTAATCTTTTTCTTGTCCTCCTGATATTTCTGCAGGTGTTAAGCATTGAGAATGCGAGTATAGTTGTCAGCGACATCCCTGCCAGCAACGGCATTATTCATGTCCTCAGTAAGGTATGTCAGTATGTGTGGTACTGGGAAATACTGCAGTTATTAGCAGCAGGTTTGTGCTGCAGCATCTGTGATGGGACCAAGGAGGAACATGTCTGGACAGTTAGGAAGGAGTATAATGGCAAAAATATGTTTGGTTATCACAAGGTCCTGACAGATGTTTCCTGTGCAGCAGTGTTTAATGTTTGAAATATATGTCTCCAGGACAAGTAGAATGGGAGTTCCTCTTCTCTTGGCTGAAAGAAGAAGAATTAAAGCTATTGCAGAATGTAAAATGAGACCTTTTCTGATTGCCTTGGAAGCAGGGCAGGAGTCTAGTGCAATTTCACCCAGAGCTTCTTGTCCAACCTTGCTTACAAACTTGCTTTTTCTACAGGTTTTATTGCCGCCTTCAGAAGATATCCCACCAAGTCCTCCGGGTCTGCAGAAACAGCTTGAGACCGTTGCCTCATTCAGCATATTCAAGGAGCTGCTGCAGGTAAGCAGTTGAGGTGAGCACTGTGTTGTGGTTGTTACAACTGTCTTTGGAGCAAATGCCCACCTTCCCCTGTACTGACCAAAATTTGGACTGCCTGGTGAGAAAAGGGAGACCACCTGTTTCCTAACTTTTATGAGGGATTTTCTAGGGAAGTTCTTCTGAGTAGCCAAAGAATTATATACTTAGAGTGAGATCCCTGCATCAGTGGAAGATGACCTGTCTACTGCAGGCACACTCATGATTGTAGGGGGAAGAGAAACCTAGAGCAAAAGGCAGCCTTGTTCCTATTTGCAAAGCTGTGCTTATGTCAGTCCAAGACAAGGAACAATGTGTGTGACTGAGCAGAAGTTATATATCCCATTTTCAAGCATTTCTTCTAGTGCTCTTGCCTTTTAAGTTGATTTCCGATGTGGTTTGTTTTCTAATGAGTATAAGTGTAATTCCTAATGTTACGATTTGGACTTGTTTTTTAGCAATACCAGCTCATTGGAAAAATTGAATCCTCTGAAAAATACACCGTTTTTGTTCCTGGAAATAATTCCATTGAGGAGTACTGCCACACTGCCAACGTGACACAATTGGTAAGCTCCCTGCTTGCTTATGGTTTGAATATGTATTGCAGTAAGTGCAGGGATATGTACGCTGTCAGCTCATAAACTTGAGTTCAGTGGATTTGAGCATGGAGGGAAGAAGCATATCTGATGCTAAAAGCTGGGCAGAGAGAAATGAAAGGGTTTCCTGGGGTGTTGCAGTGGGATCTGAAGAGAGTATTTGGACTCAAAATACAGATTTATGAGTGGATTTGCATGTGGATAGATGGCACAATATGTTCCCCTTCCTGGCTGACTGTGGCACATATGTGGAAATTTTCAACCTTTTGAAAGGTTTCAGAAAACATTTCTGGCTTCATTCAGTAGCAGAGTCATCAGGTGTGATCAGTCATCTGTGATAGGGAATTATTAGGGTCTGTGGGCTTGATTAGCCATTACAAATGCTTAGGAATTCTTCTGCCAGACCTCTGACTGAACTGTAGTCTAGGAAGTCAACAGAGTCCTAACATTTGGATTTTTTGTGGATTTAGGACAATGAGACAGTGCAGTACCATGTTGTACTGGGAGAGAAGCTCTTGCCTGTGGACTTGAGAAGTGGAATTCATAAGAACAGTATGTTAGGGCTCTCCTACTGGCTAATGTTTTATCAAAACAGCACCCAGGTAAGGAAGGAAAGACCGTTCTGCTATTTGAGGGTCTGGCTTGACCTATCACCTTCTAAGGCCAATGGCTTGATACACTCATTTCTGTTTTGCACAACCTTACAAGTTTACCTGCTGTGACTGTCTGACACCTGTTAAGCAATCCATGCAAGGCAATTGAAGGTTATCATCTCAGCTGTTTTCTTCTTTGCAGAAGTTCATCAATAATATTCCTTTGGATGGACAATTTCATGAAACAAGGAATGGCATGCTGATCGGGGTTTCACAGGTCCTCCAGATACAGAAGAATCGTTGCACTGCCAATACCACCACCATACAAAAGGTGATGATGGTTACCAAGGGGCTGACCACTCTTTCACAGAGTTTCTCCACCTCCTGAACCAAACTGACGAATAGCAGACAACCTACCCTGTCTCTTCAATGGGGATGAGACAGTAGCTTGTGATCTGAGCCTCGTGGAGACTTGGGATCTCCTAGCCTCACACTTGGTGCTTCTAATGCAGCAGATCTGCAGCTCTTTTGCAAATCATGTTCAGTTCACTTGCTGAGGCTCTCCCACAGTGCCAGCTATGAGGCAGGCTGGTGCAGGGAATTCCAGACACCTGGCCATGGAAGAAGAATCCTCCTCAATTCTTGCATGGCATGACCATAAACTCTTCTAGAAAATGCTATTGTCTGTCTGGGAGTCATGGCCAAAGTCCAGCCCACATGTATCTTGCAGCTCTTGGCTGTCTGAAGATTGCAGGGTCAGACTGAGGTGTGCCTGCCTTGTTGCACATTAGAAAAAAAGGATTTGCAGCCTTGCATGAAGGAATGCCAGGCCTACAGAAAGCCCTACCCTGGCTCAGACACTCAGGAAAGGTGTAGCATGGGATCTCTCTGATTTGTTTTGTAGTACAGTCTCTGGAGTGCAGAAGTCAGACCTTGTGTACACCACTGGAATGCACCTTGTGTGAAGCCTTTGATAGCAGCCAGGACATGAGGGTCATGCGTCATGATTTTTCTTCTTTTGTTGGTTTCAGCCACAGAGATATCTTTATCTTTGTCCCAGCCAGCAGCCTGTATGGCACCATTTATAATTCAAGATTAGTGTCTTGGTGTGACATGGGTGGAGGGCACACATGTGACTTGTCCTGTTCTCTGTGCCCTAGTCAAGATGCGGCAAGTGTGAGAAGGGGATCAAGTGTCCTCCTGGATCAGTTCTTGTGGTGAGTCTTTGATTCATGTGACATCTCACAAAATGTTTGTAGATAGTGCCTTGATGTTCTTATATTGCTTTATAGATGTCAGCTTGATACGTGAAAAAAGATGCTCTTGAGTCCTCTGCGGCTCATTCGTTAGCAAGGTTTGTAAGAGAAAGCTGGAAAAACACAAACATGAGCCATGAGGCTGCCACCAGTCTTTGCCTGAATTTCAGGAGCCCTTTAGAGCATGCAGTATGAGGAGTTTCCTCCCTTAACAGAGAAGAGATGCTTCTTTTTAATCTTTTACTTTTAAAATCTTCTGCTCTTCTGACATTATCATCAAGGAAAGCCGGTTTAGGGGTGGCAGTAGCAATTTCCCAGCCTGCACCATTGATTTGTTCCCACAGATGGGCTGGTTGTGCCTGCAGCTACTTTGTGAGTGACAAGCATTTCTAGAGAGAAAAACAACTAAACATTTTGTCTCCATGCTGGCAATGAATTGTCCAGCAGCCACATCTAGCTTCTTAAGCCTCGTTACTTTATGCCAAAAAATGTCCCATTACTTTTCTTCAGAATTCATACTGACATGTACATGATGGATTTGGCAGGTAACACAATAGACTCGGTGTGGTGACCTCACAACTAGAGATGCTCCGTTGGTCTCTAAATAGTCCAAATTTTTAGGGCTGTTCCTGTAGGATAAAAAGCATTATTCCTCTGTTAGGCAAGAACACTGCTATATGTGCCAAAATGTGCAGTGTTTGTCTAAATATTGTAATACCTTCTATCTGTATTTTTATTAATTATTTTTGCAGGAATTGCCAGGAAGTAAGAATCTCGCTCGCTGTGAGTTACGCTCTGGGGATACAGGAATACTTGGCTGCCATTTCACCTGTGCAAAAGTTTCTCTGGTAAGAAAAACATTTGCCTTGGATTCATTTTGACAAAAGCAAAATGAGTATTAGAAATACAGCTGTGGAAATAGAGCCTGTGCTGGAAAGACAGCCTGACTGCATTTGTGCCACTGTGTAGCTGAGACTGAGCTCATCTGGGAGTCATTCTCCATCGTGGAGATAGAGGGCAATGGAGAAAAACAAACCTATGGAAGTGTCTGCACAGTGATGGATTGTGGTCTGTTGCTTTAGGTTTTGTCCTGCAGAGGAAGAGGAGTTGAATGTTTGTAATCTGGTTTCCTAAGGAAATGAGGCATGAATGATGGTATTTTGCTTGTGCCTGTGCCTTCCCGAATAACTGATGACTAATTGGAGCAAAAACCAAAGGGAAGAATGCAAGGTCTCACAGCTGTTATGGCCCATACCAGTTTCTGAAAAGGTGTGGCTAGGAGAAAACACTTGAAGAGAAAATGGTGTAAGAAAGACTTGTGTGAATTTGAGCTTTTATAGGTATTGAAGCATCTTCTGATAAAGTTTAATGGGAATGGGAGATTTAGGAGAAGGGAGAGAGGGAGCTGGACATACAGTACTCACATGCAGAGCTTCGGTCAGCACTTGTACCTCACTGGGCACTGCTGCATTGCATCATTAGATGATATTTCTCCTCCTCTGTACTCACCCAATTTGGTCCCATCATGGTTTCCTCCCTGCATAGGTAGATGCAGAAAGAAGTTAGAATCAGACATCTGAACCAAATCACCTTCTGGCAAAGCCTCTCTCTGTGCAACAGGGTGTCTTACTTGTGGGACACACTAGGCACACAGACAGAAGACAGGCAGGATGGGCACGGGACTCAACATTTGCGTTACTCACCAAATGGCCAGTGTTGCTCAAGGGCAGTGTGGACCTTTACATGAAACTCTGAGCAACAGAGCACTCCATTTGAGGGGGTTCACTCCATCCTACCTGCGCACGTCTGGCCCTTTCAAGCATTGCTAGAAGTTGTGTTAGGACATAGTTAAAGGATCAGAGTAGCTGTACCCTGTGTGTGCTGCACAAGAGAACTCACCCCAATTTATTCTTGTCGGTTCTCCAGAGGTCTGTCTGCTGCCCCGGCTACTACGGACACATGTGCGAGATGTGCCCGGGGAAACCAGGCCAGTGGTGCTCTGGGAACGGGGAATGCCAGGACGGCATCGAGGGCAGTGGAGAGTGCCGGTGCCTGGAGGGCTTCCATGGCACTGCCTGTGAAATGTGTGAAGTGGGCCGATATGGAGCTGACTGCAAATCAGGTGACACTTGTTGCAGCTTTTCTCTGCCATCCTGCTTTCAAGGGGAGAAAATCATCCACATCACAGCTCTTGGGAGGGGCAGTGGAAGGGAAGAAATGTCCCAGGGCCTCTGAGACAGGTTAACAGCTGGCAGGCCACTGAGAGAGGGACAGTGGGAATAAGCGCTTGTGGTCAGCCAGAGGAGCGGCCCCACTTTTCGTATCCTCAAACCAAGTCATGCCTGACTGCATTATGCCGCTCATCCTGCTGCCACCCAAACTACAGAAAGTAGACATGAGTGGTCTATTCCTGGGGTTTTGGGCTTGGTGGTGAGGGAATGAGAGCCGACACTCCTGTGATATTTCCTTTATGGAAGTTTGAGACTACAGAAAGTAGACATGAGTGGTCTGTTCCTGGGGTTTTGGGCTTAGTGGTGAGGGAATGAGAGCCGATACTCCTGTGATATTTCCTTTATGGAAGTTTGATACGTTGGATCAGGAGCAGAGCACCCAGTGAAAGGCAGCAAGACTCTGCTTGTGAAACCTGGCTGGTTTGACAGTGACGAGTGTTTATATTTCTCCTGCAGAATGTGCTTGTGACAACGGCGTATGTAACGATGGACTGCAAGGGGATGGGAGCTGCGAGTGTTTCCCAGGGTGGAAGGGCCCTACCTGCCGAGAAAGTACGTGAGTGTGAAGGGCTTGTGATGTAATATTACCTTTTTGACAAAAAAAATCTGTGTGATTCTTTTGAGTTGCCGGATAAATTCTGTGTGAGCTGAACAAAGTGACCACGATCAGGTGTACTTTGCATCCCCCCCACCCCAAAAAACTTATCAGACTGTGCTGGCTCACAAGCTGCATTTGTGCTGTTGATTCCCCAACAACACATGAGCCCTTGAGTTGTCTGGGTGAAATTCATACAGAAAAAAGCAAATCCCCTGCTTCCATCTCCACTGAGATTCAAGGCACCTCAAGAGCAGCCCCTTGCCCTGGGAGAGAGATATGGAAGCTCACAGTGAGATTGGCTTGACTGTGACTCCTGTTATTGTCCTAAGAAGGTGGCTTGTTTTGAAGCCTCCAGAATGCCCCAGTGTGTCTGCTGAGTTGCTTTTTCTGCTCACAGATCTGTTGATTTTGATGAGCTAGCTCAGGCCATGGTCTACAATTTTCAATAAATCTTTTAACTGTGTGTCAAAGTAATGTTGAGGATGATTGTTCCTGGGATTTGGGATTATGATTACTACTGGGGTGGGGAGAAACCTGAGCTCCTCAATACTTTAGGTTTTTAAAAGATTGATTTTGTAGTGTAGTCAAATGTTCTGGGGGCATTTAGAAAGTGAGTGGAGCTGTCCTATCTAGTGTATGAAAAACATTCATCTTTTTGCTTTGATTGGGGCAAAGCCAAATGGCCCTATCTGTCGGGATTAACAAGGTTTCAATCCTTGTTTCTTTCCTAGCAGTGTGGAGGCCATGCAGATAGGATCAAGTTGAACTGTTAGCTCAGACAGAGAATGTCTAATTCACTCCATTGCAAAATGCCAAAACATAAATCCCTTGAGGTTTCCCTGCTGTCATCTAGGCCAGGAGAGTTAGCAGAACTGCTGGTGTGTCCCATCGTTGGGCAGGGCACCACAAGTGGGGTAGTGGGGTTATCTGCAGGGTCCTTTACTCTTGGTGGCAGAAACAGCCCCAGCAAGTGCTAAATTGAAAATGCCAAGTCACGTTTGTGTTTTCTCTTGCAGGAATTAAGATTGACCTATGCAATAACACTTGTCATCAAATGGCCAAGTAAGTACAAACAAAGAGGCTGGGTCATTCTGAGAAAGCCGTGTCTGGTTTTGTGTGTTTTACATAGAGGTGATTCTGTGTTTAGGGCCTCACAGAGGGCAAGGAGAAGGTGCTTAGCATTAAAGATGCATAAATGTTCCATTCTGGAAATCTCTTTGGTGCCAAGCTGCATCCAGTCTACCCAAGGGTTTTGTCTGAGCATAAATTCTTTCCAAGTTCCTTCTGCATATGTAGATGGGAGAAAGCAGAGACTCCAAGGTGTTTCAAGCCTGTTCTTCTTCATGGAGCAAATCAACCAGCCATTTACAAGCCCTTTCTGCCCTTCCTGCCCTCTCCAAGGAGTTAAATAGGCTGATGGGCTGTAGTGACTCCCTCTTGCTGCCTTTTCCATTCATTACTTGATCTCCTATTTTGTGGTACCGGGAGCCAGCCATCTCCATTGTACCGTGCAGAAGCACTGTACTGGATTCTACTAGGATAGGGAGGGTTAATTTTCACTGGACATAGCCGGGGTAGCTGAACCAAACTAGCCACTAGCCAAGGGGATATTCGATACCATAATGATGTCATGCTCAGGGTATATAGAGGTTGCTGGCCGGGACGGGAGTCTTTCTATTTTCCGCCTCTCTGTCTGAGAGATCACGTCGCTGGGTTCCGGGTGGTGAGATGTCCATGTTACATATTACTCACGTTAGATCTGGTTAAACACTACTGTTATTTCACTGTTATTGTTATCCTTTGTGTTTCATCATTAAAACAAACTGTTTTTTATCTCAACCCCACAAGGACTCTGCCTACTGCTCCTTCCAGGCTCTCCTCCTCACTCCCGGGAGCAGGGAACCAAGTGAGGGAGCGACCTCGTGGTTCCTTTGTCTCTCCCTGCCGATCAATCAGTCGGCTTGAACCATGACAAGCACATGGGTGCTCTTTGTGAGGTGTGAATCCTGTACCTGGGTGTCAGCTGCCTGGCCAGTGTGACCTGAGTATTTGATAATATCTTTGTAAAGATAACCTTCTTTGTAGAGAAATACAGAGCAATGTCAGGCATGTCCCTTCTGTGGTCATTGTGGGCTCTAACATACCAGACTTGTATGGTGTTTCCCACCAGCCAAGCAAATCAGCAGGTGTCATCCATGACTGTTTATCTCTTTCTTGTTTCAGCTGCCTCAATACTTCTGCAGATTCCTCACCTACGTGCTTCTGCTCTGCTGGATACACAGGGAATGGGACCCATTGTACAGGTATGTCCAGCAAGCGTGTGAGCAAGATTCAGGGCTTGCAAACACCTGTCATAGCTATGCAAAGACAAGGGGTTTGTTTGTGAAATAAGTGACATGGTGTGGCCAAGGGAAAGATCATTCAAATCCTTTTCCTCTCGGCCATCCACCATGAACTGTGCCATACTTTGACAGAGAAGTTTTCTAGTGCAGAGCTTCACACAGGTTGCTCTTGATGTTGCTAGACCCTGCGAGAGAGGGATGAAAAGGCAGGCAAGTGTAGCAGAGAGGTTCTTATTGCTTATTGAGAGAGATGCACATGAAAGGGTTGTGTTAGTTCTGATATCACAGCAATGGTGGCAAAGATGTAACAGTTTTGGCCATGAGTCCCTGGAATATGGATGAATAGAATTTTGTGCTCCTTCTGTTTGCCGGCCATGCCAAAATTGGGTAGAACCAGCGCAGCAGTTGTGCCAAAATGGGTTAAGATTTCAGTATACTAGTTCTAGAGCTACATACAAATCTGGTCTATATCAAAAGCAAACAGACAAGAGAGAAACAGTGTGATAAAATTGTAACAGTCACCACACTAGTAGACATAATTTCTTTTCAGTATTGCCCTTGTTTGAAAATGAGGGGAAAAAAAACAAAAAAACCCATGATTTATGTTGTTTTGTCATCTAACCATTAGTCCTCAGTGAGTAAATGATGTGATAGAAAGACTTCTTAGGCCAATTTCGGGGTTACTTAAGCTCAGTGACTTTTGGACTGGCCTCTTTTGGATCTGGGTGAGGCCCCATGCCTTTATAAGACCTAAAATTTCATCAAGAAACAAAGGGATTTTAATCTTGCAATTTTTGTGAAGATGGATGATCATTCTGGTTTAGTTCATCTTTTCAAAATGCTCTGAACTGATTCTGCTTCTCTTGTTTGTGGTCACAGAAATAGATCCATGTGCTATTGATCATGGTGGCTGCTCCGTACATGCTGTGTGTACTAAAGTGTCCCCAGGAGAGAGAACCTGTGTTTGTAAAGAAGGCTACGCTGGAGATGGAATGCTCTGCATGGGTGAGTGTTCAGTGCATGTTTTGGTGGTACCAGTGAGGTATCATCCATGCAAAGGGCAATTTCAGACTAAAAGCATTAAAATATCAGGATAAAATGTTGAACGACTCAATTCCCCTTTCACTTTGTTCATGCAATGATTATTTCAAAGCAAGAAATCTGGCTGATCTTGATTCAAGATCTGGCTGATCTTGATTCAACTGTCTCTGCTTTTTGTTGAGCTATATGCACACAAACATGTCCATGTGTGCATACATACCTGTGGGTATATGCTCAGCGTTCTTCGAAGTCATGATTAGTGAAGCGATCGTTACTTTCCCAGCACAGTGCAACCCAATACTGGGCAGAGAGCCCACACTGTCGTTGGCACCTGTCTCACTGGACGACCTCAGACCAGTGTTTTGGTCTCAAACCAAAAGAGCCCTGAGATGTTTCTTGCCCTGATGCATGTTGTGGAGAGGTCCAGAGACAGAAAGTGAGGGCAGTCTCCTACAGTGGTGCTCTGAGATGAAGACAGAGCTGTCCTCTCATATCCTTTAAAGCACACCCAAGCAGGTGTGGGGTTTTCTGTGGGCAGATCTGTCACAACTCGGCAACAAATCTGTGGCAGGATTACAACTTGCAGTTGTACATTATTCCTTTGCTATCACAAATCACTTTTCCACCAATCTGGGAACATCCTCCCTGTTGCTTTCCCAGTACCTCTTTGGGTCACCAATTCCCAGCTGCCTTGAGGACCCCTCAGTAATAATGTGGCCTTACTGTTTTGCTGCAGAAATTGATCTCTGTCTCGAAAGCAACGGGGGCTGCCACACAAGTGCAGAGTGCGTTAAAACAGGCCCAAGAAAGGTGAGTATGTAAGATAGGTGTCAGGGCAGCTTATTCTAGAGGCTGTCACAGCTGTGTAATTCTTCTAGAGACAATCCTTCCCATTGCAGCACCCTGCTTTGTACTGCCTTGTACCTTCCACATAGAAAAGCTGCTTGAGAAGGGCATGAAAAGGTTCCTGTAACCTTAAAAGCAAATGCTTTCTGTTGCCCAGAGGCTGGAGGTACTCCTAGGTTGTATTTATTGTGGACACAAGCATGGTTATTGATGGATGTAGCGGTGGGTGCTATGCCACATGCTTTCCACCCAGCTCAGCCATTGTTTGTTTTCTTTCTTCAGTCCACCTTTCAGACTGATCATCTATTCTCCCTCCAGGTTGCCTGCAACTGTCTTCCTGGTTACAGTGGGGATGGTGTGAGCCAGTGCAGCCCTATCAACTTGTGTAAACAGGTGTGTCTGCATTTTGCTCTTACCAGAGGTGAAGGCCACAGCCTTGAAGCATCTTTTTCTCCCAGCAGTTAACCTTGCTTGTTTAGAGCTGGCTGTCTTGCCTTTTCACGTACCAAGGGGACCTACAAGTGCTTTGCCTACCTGGCACTCCCTCTTGTGGGAGAAGCAGTGTGAACACTGACAGAAGGTTGGAAGCATGTGGTGTTGTTTCTCTACATTGATTTTGTATGGAACATGCTCAAAAGCTTACAAGTAATTTGTGCTCACAACGTTGCTGGCATGTAAAACTCTTTCTCTGAATCATGGCACGGATTTGGAATCACTGTGGATTCCAAAGTAAGGCGCAGAAGTTTTGTTTCACAGTAGGATTTGGTGCTGAAAAGCCCTTGAGGATTTGGGTGATTTATTCTAAGGCACTGGACAGATGGGAGGAATGGTTTCCTTCCCACTGGGCAGCTCCCACACGCAAATGACTGTTAAAGTTGTTGGTGATGCCCCTCCGGTGCAAGCCTTTTGCTTCTCTCTCCAGAATAACGGAGGCTGTAGCCCGTTTGGGCTCTGCAAGTACACAGGCCCTGGCACTCGAAACTGCTCCTGCGCTTGGCACAGTGTCGGAGATGGCTTCACCTGCCGCGGCAAAGTGCATCAGGTGAGAGGCATGTGCAGCATCTTTTGTGTTCAGGCCCCCTGCCCTGCAGCTCACCACCCTCTCCCCTCCGAGTGTAAGCAGCAGGTGAGCAGATCTGTAGTGTCATATCGACACATGTGGTGTAGGAACGAAGACAGTGCTTTGAGGCAAGCTGTCCATAAATTGTAGGTGTATTTTGGGTGCTGTCCAGGGGAGACAATCACAGTAAAGTGACTTTGCTCCAAAGGGAGCTGCAATGTGAACACTCTGCTGCTCTGTCAGCAACATTGGCCACACTTCCAGGGAGCTCTTTTCTTAATGTGATAAGCACATGGGTGGAGTTTTTTGTTTGGGTTTGTTTTTTTTTTTCCTCCGAGGGAACCTGCTTTTTCCAATCTGTGGGATCAGGGCAGGTGTCCCCTGTGGCCATGCCAGGACTTGGGATCCAGTCTAAAGGACAACAGTCTGTCTCCAGCTTTGTCATCAGCTCAGCAGCTGTCCATGGGCAAACTGGTGACCTTTTCTTTCAGTGGCAAATAAAAGCTGTCATGCCCACAGCAGAGCCAAGAGAAAAGAAATGGACTCAGTTTTGTGCTTTTGTTCTTACTGAAAGTCAGTGTGGTAAGGAGAGGGAGTTTATCCTGCCAAGCCTATGTCTGCCGCTCTGGGCAGCACCCCAGAACTGTAGTGGCATCACAGTGATGTTAAAGCAGAGTTTTTGTGGGTCACTTGAGGTGTCCCATGAGCACAGGGTCAGTTAAGCATATGAACAGCTGCTGCAGAACCAGCCAGCTTTCATCTCTTTGTCTGTTCCATCCTGCAGCATCTGTGATATGAATGGTCCAGGCAGAAGTCACTGCCTGCTTTTGTAACCTTCACGACATCAATGCCTGCAGCACTGACAAGGGAGGGAGGGAAAGAACAGTGTGGTGTGTCAGGAGAACCACTGTGTCATTGGGGTGGAAGAGTGACCTGGAATGAATGGAGCAGGTTACTGTGCTGGCGGGTGAGGAGCAAGTGGAAGGGACTCTGCTAACACCAACTGTTTCTCTTTGTTGAAGGAGCTCGGAAGGACTGAAGATGCATCCGTGTTCTTTAAGATGATACTGGTTGGTGACATAAAACTTTGTCCTTGTATTCTGTAGTAAATCTGACTTAGGGTTTTCTGCAAAAGGTCTTGCTAACTGGAACTGTGTTTTCTGTTTCCCTTCCCACAAATGCTCTTCTGCCGCAGGCGGAAAACATCAAGGAGCTCAGCGGGGCAGGGCCTTTCACTGTCTTTGTTCCACGGACAGATTTCATAGCAAACACCACAACGGTAAGTGTCCTTCCATCCCACGTGCTGTCAGGTGTTTGGCAAGCTCCAGTTGTGGCGATGTCCCCTCTGGGGCTGTTCCGCCCAGTGAATTGAAGCAGGGGGTTAAAGACATCCCCTGTTCTCCACCAGGGTAAGAGCAGAGGCGTGGATGCTGACTCACTACGGAGGCAGTCTGGGCAGGGGTGGACGTGGTTTCTGTTGTAAGGAGACCCTTACTGGAGACCCTGTCTCATGGTCCTCAGAGGTGCTGTGCCAAATCGGTGACGTGTGGTGACTTTCATTGCCCGTAGCTATTAGCAGCTGGTCACAGCAAGGCTTCGAGGCTTCTGTGACAAAGATGTCTTACTCCTTCCCTGTGCCCCAGGCCCTGCCATTCCACTTCCATTGGTCCTTCCTTCTAGTCCCAACAAGTGGGATGTTTAGGGCAAGTGGAGACTGGGGGAGGAGAGATCCTTATTCAGGACTTGGTGAATCAGATTCTTAATCAACAGGTTTTTGGTGGCAGTGTAATGCAATATCCCAATACCACAAGCCCTATTGTGCAGCTTCACACTGCTAGTCCCAAACTTTTTCGCGTGCCCCCTCCCTACAGCAAATAAAGGAACAACTCCCAATGACTGCATAACCCCAGACATCACTTCCTCCAGGCCAGTGGGGTCATTTGTCCTTAATCAGGGCACATGATGCTGATTTTGTCAAGCTGGTTGAAATTTCCCAAGGCCCTCAAATGTTTCTGACCATTCCCCATGTTTCTGAGGGGACTGGCTTTCTTGCAGGGATGGGGCAATCCAGGTCTCCCTCATGAGGTCTTGGGCTCCCCACTACAAGGCAAAGTGCCCCCAGTGTGACCTCCTTCTTGTTTTCTGTCTGTAGTTTGAGGAGTGGAGGAGCAGAGGTCTCCTCCGGGACCTACTTCGCTACCACATGGTGGGTTGCCAGAAGTTGCTCTCCACTGACCTGGAAACCCAGATGTCCCTTACATCTTTATCTGGCCACAAAATAAAGATCACAGTGAAAGAGGTAATTCTCTGATACAGTTCTCTTCCCTGTCCCACTTGTCAGGATGTCATTTTGCTGTTATTTGAAGGCCACTATGTTTGTGGCGAGTGACTTGCCTGAGGCTCGCAGATGGCTCACAGGGTGGCACCATGGGTGTGAATACCTCATTGCATCCCTTCTCTCTCAGAATAGCATCTATCTCAATGAGGAAGCCGAAATGGTTGCGAGTGACATCATCGGCGTGAATGGGGTCATTCATTTCATCAACAAGATCCTCATTCCCAGTGACCTGGTGGGCCGTAACGTTTCCTCAAAGATCTCGCAGGTAAGGCTGAAGCAGTGACGGTGCCCTGATAACTGCCGTGGCGAGGACAGAGCTCCAGTACTGCTGTCCCTCACAAGCCCTTGGCCCAAGGCTACGTGAGGTGCTCTTCCTCCCTCTTCCTAGGTCTGTAGGAATTGTCTAAGGACATGAATTTGGCTAGTGAAGGTGACAGCATTTGTGGTGTAGCCATGTTTGGGACACAAGGAGCCTTATTCATCACTAGGGAACAAAAGAGCTGGGTGTAGGCAAAGGGATCATGTCCCCTGCCAACCATCACACTCCTTTTCCAGTGCAGAGCAGACTGCAGTGTGAGATTGCCAGTGTGTCTCTGGTACTCCTGAAACACGCACTAGGAGCTTATAGCGCCTGCATTTTACAATAAGTAGTACATTTTCTGGACAGGGCCACAGAATGCTGAAATCCATCCCAGCTCCTGCTATAGCAGCATCTACCCGGGATGACTCGGGAAAGTGGCGACTGCTGAATGCCAGCCCTTACCAGGCCAGATCATTTGGCATGATGATGACAGAGATAAACTTGTTTAGCTGCTGTAGCTGTTAACCATCTGGTTTCTCTCTTGCACTGCTTCTCCAGGTCCTAGAGGGGGTACCTCTTAGTGATGGTTGTTTTTTGCTTTCTTCCCTCTGCAGCAAAATATCACGGAAGTGGCAGAGGCCTTTGGGTACACCATTTATAGCAAACTGCTGCAGGTGAGCAACCATACTCCTGCTCTGTCAGGGGCGGTGTGTACATGTGTATGTTCAGTCTTGGCTTGTGGCTTTTTCTTTGTATCCCCTCTTACCTTGGACAGGATGCCGAGCTCCTTCCACTGATTAGTGAGCCCCTGCATAGACCCTTCACCATGCTGTGGCCCACAGATGCTGCCTTTAATGCCCTCTCGGAGGAAAGGCAGAAGTGGCTGTACCGCAGAGAGCATCGGGACGTGCTGGCCTCCTACCTCAAAGCACACATGATCAGGGACACCAAGGTAAATGTGACAACAAACACTCCTACCTCATGGTGAAGCAGTGGCTGCCTCAAATGCTTAAACAGCTTTTGGTCTTCTCAAGATAACTAAAATGCTGCATGTTCTACAGCAGCAAAATATTGGGCATGGTCACCCTGGTGTAACCATAGGCAGGAGGTGGCACCACATGTGGCCTCAGGATTCAGGAATCTGGGACTAACCCCGCATAATTATGCTGTCCCACCCACATCAGCTTCACATGCTGCCCCATCACACCCCCTCTCAGTGTGGCTGCTGACCCCTGTTCTCACCAGGCAGTATGAACTGCCAACTTTGCCTCTCTCCTTTGCTATTCTTCACTTTCTCTCTTAGATTGTTGCTGGTAATGTGCCCCAAGTCAAATCCATACGGACCATGCACGGCTCCGCCGTTTCGTTCAGCTGCAGCAAAAGCCATGTGGTGAGTGATAGCGATGCTGGGCTCTGCTTTCCAGCTGAGCAAGTGTCTGTGAGCAAGCCACGGGGCAACCGATGCTTCATGTTGGTCACTGGCAGGAGTGAAGGCAGAGCCGGGATGCCTGCAGGCTGAGACACCCACCTCTCCTGGCTACAGCTGAGCCTGTAGAGATGCTCGAGATTCTGCAGCCAGCTGGCGGGGAAGTGCGGAGGCATGTGGTACCTGCACAGGCACTTCATGCTGACCACATGGTGCCATGACCCCACAGAGCGTGTGTTGCGTGGACAGAGGCTATTTCTTAGGAGAGATGCCATGAAAAGTGGCAATTGGGAAGAGTGGCCAAGGACACAAGGGATGATTTAACCTTTGGGTGGTTCAGCCAGGATGCAGGAAGTGCCAGGATCACAAGTTGCCTTCTTCCTTTGGTAGGGGGAGCTTCTTGTGGGCAACGGCGATGCTGCCATCATCCAGAGGCACATGGAGTTCAATGGGGGCATTGCTCATGGCATCGATCGGCTGTTGGAGCCACCAGATCTGGGATCTCGGTGTGATTCATTCGTCCTTGTTGAGCTGCAGGTGAGCGTGTGCAATGAGGCCAGTGAGGATCTGTGCCACCTCTTGAACCCCATGCCTGCAAAGAGAGGTGTCGGGAGGGCTTGCTGCTCTTACTCAGCAAAGCTCCAAGCAGCTGAGAGAGACAGAGACATACATTGAGTTGTTGTGAGATTTCTTTCTCCCTTCCACAGGGATCTACAGAGAGCTGCGGACTTTGTGGCTTCGAGCCACCCTGCCCTACTGGCTCCGTTCAACGGGTAAAGCTCACAGCTTTGTCACCAAGAAGTCCTGGCCAGATGATAATACCCACACACCCCTCAAGTTTTAGCAGCAACATGAAGGCTGGCCTGCATGTGGCGAGTCACTCAGCTTGGTCAGCTCGTGCCTTACCCCAAGTCATGCAGTCCCAAAGGGCAGGAGCTGAGCTGAGCAATGGGGGGTCAGGGGCTCCAATGGTCTTTGCTTGGTCAGTCCCAATATGGGTGAGAGCAGCTGCAGGGATACTGCAGGAGCTCTGGGTGCTTTATAGCAACAGAGCCTGGCCTGGCTGCTGAGACGGACCAGGGATCAGGTGGTGAGCAGCCTTGAGCGGCAGCGGTTAAACTCCACTCTCACTGTGTTGCCTGCTGTCTTTCTCTGCTGGGCTTCTGGCATGTTCCTGAGGGACATCTGTGCCTCTTCTGTCAACCAGCCCCATCGCATGTTGGGGTTACTCATGCATCTGTTACTTGTCATAAAACTGAATGAGTGGCACAAGAAAAGTAAAGGAAAGACATCAGTGACCAATATGGCAAACTCTGTGTTTTGCCTGTTTTCTCACAGGGGGACACCAGGCGCTGCTACTATTATGGAAGCCAGCTGTTGAGAAACACTTTCCTGTTTCACCGCAACTCCCTGTTGCGGCCGGCCTGGCCAACCCTCACCGTGGGACCCCTTCAGAAGACACTTCTCTTCCAGGGGGCCTCTGAAGCGAGGCTGCAAGAGGAGCTGTGTATCCTCCCAGTGGGTCCCTCAGTGCTGTGCAAACCACTATGGCCGTGACTGTCAGGGTAAGGAGCTGCACGACCCTTTCCTGCCCTGGTCCTTTCTCCTGTGGGAAGGTGGCATCACTGGTTCAGCACAGACAGCTGGCATCCACGAATGTGCTTCCCTGGAGAAGGGTGGGCAAAACCCCAGGCAGGGAGCCCCAGTCTGTAGAGGGTGCTGGGAACGATCTGCTGGGAGTGCAGGTCACTCACTCCTAGATGTTGATGCTCAACCATTCCCCAGCATCTGCACTTTGTGCCTGGGCAGCCGTCATGTCCCTGAATGATGTCTGCTGCGTTAGCGTGGGCCAGGCCAGCGCAGATGGAGCACATGGCAGCGGAGTCTTCCTGGGAGGGAAGCTCTGCCAGACTTGTTCCTCTTGCCCCAGTTCCTAAGGTTTATTGTCATGGGATGTCTCCAGCACTCACTCTCCAGACTGCTGAGCAGGCCCTGGTCTGAGCATCCTGTAAGCAGCAGATGATGTGGCACCAGCACAAGGTCACTTTGTCACTAAGGTGCTCCATTTGCAGCGTGCCCCGGAGGGCTGGAGGCACCGTGTGGTAACCGTGGGACCTGCGACGACAAAATCGGTGGCTCAGGGAGATGCAACTGCAGCCAGGCTTTCATCGGGACCAGCTGCGAGCTGTGTGCACCGGGCAGATACGGGCCGGATTGCCGAGGTGAGGGGGAGGTGTGGGGTGGCAGCAGCCCCCAGAGGGTTTGTGCAGAGGTGGCTGCAGCACATGATGCTGCCAGGAGAGAGGTAAGTGCTGGACTGACCTCTTTGCAGCCTGCAGCATGGAAATCATGCTGCCACCTATGCATTCATCCTCACAATGCTAAGGTCAGACCTCTGGGGCTGGGACCATCCCTCCCTGGGCTTTTGGCTGAACAGATGTTAATCCAGCTGTGATTTGAGAAGGCTGGGTGACACATGCTAGGAGCTGTGGCCAGTGCAGGCTTGCCTGGCCTCACCTCTGTACAATGGCCCCAGGGTCAAAGGCCCTTTCTCTTTTGTCAAGCACAGCTGTGAGCCCCAGTCTGGCAGAAAGTATTAAGTATTTTGAACTGAGGGAGAAATCTGTAAGTTGTGATGATCCCTGTACAGAAAGAGCTTCTACTGGGACATGGTCAACAGGGACCTGTGCACCTCTGAGGCAAAGGAAAAGAGAATTCTCCGTCCTCTCATCCCAAACTGGGTCTTCATAGGTTCTCCAGAAATGTTTTTGATGGCTGTATGTTTTCAGGGACTCAGAGTGAAAAATAAATCTTTAGAAATGCTCGGGGGAGGGAAATGATGGGAGTCTGTGTATGAAGAGAAGGTCCCCATCCTCCGTGAAGGGTGCATGTTGCAGAGACAGGGGCCAGGGCCAGCAGCAACAGGAAGGGATGTGTGGGTACCGCCATGCCTGCCTTCATGCACTGCCCGTGAGCCACATTTCTGCCATGTGGCTGTCCCTCGGCCTGCCAAGACAGATGCTGTGACAGTGTTTTTATCCATTCCTCACAGAGTGTAACTGTACTGAGAATGGCGTGTGCAATGGAGGACTACACGGCGATGGCTTCTGCTTCTGTGCCGAGGGCTGGACTGGAGACCGCTGTGAAATCCGACTAGGTGAGGGATGCCAACGCCTACCAACTGCTGGTCCCTGGGACCCGGTGCCGTGCAGCCGTGATCCCAGTAGCTGGATTGTTCAAGCAGCCAGTCAGAAATTTCTCCAAAAAGGAGCTCTCAGGTTGTGGGGCTGATCTTGAGATCTGGCCTATGATGTTAAATTTCACAAGGGTTGGGGTGGTGAGCAGGTAGAGGATTAAAGCTCCACTTGATCATGATCAAGTTCCTGAGCTCAGAGTTGCTCCAAGAAGAGCTTGAGGATGAGGTGAAGGTCTGGCGTCTGTCTGATGGAGTTCTCTGCATTTAGCCGTCTGCAGAAAAGCACAGTGGGGGAGAGGGAGGAGTGTGGGGCAGGTGGCCTGGGGCAGAGGCTGGCAATGGCAGCCATGCCCATGTTGCCACGGATCGTTCTGACGTCTGTGTGTTCTGGTTTCAGTCATGACACCCACCTGCTCTCCACCGTGCCACCCCCAGGCCATCTGCCGTTCCGGCAACCTCTGCGAATGCAACCTGCATTATGAAGGAGATGGGAGAATGTGCTCAGGTAGGAGGGAGCCACGAGGGGCTGGGGTGGAGGGCTGGTGAGTGAAGGGGAAAGCAGACAACCCAGCAGGACAACAGGTGACCATTTCCTGATGACAGTATTGGTGTGATGACTGGCAGGACAGACAGACCACGAGGACACCTAGCAAAGTGTTTTTGTTAATACTTTAATCCCTGCAGTGATCGACATGTGCAGCCAGGACAATGGGGGGTGCGCCAGGCATGCGCAGTGCACACAGGTTGGCGTGAACGTCTCCTGTGCCTGTGTTCCCGGGTACGGAGGCGACGGCTACGTCTGCGACCCCATAGACAGGTGTGCGGATGGCAGGAACGGGGACTGCAGCCAGCACGCCAACTGCATCAGCACCGGGCCGGTGAGTACCTCCCCTAGGTCCGGGGAGATCCGCATGCATGTGGCTGCCATGGGATGCTTCAGGTTGCTGGAGGACAGCGATGAGACCATTCCCCTGTTACTGCAGTCCCCAGGCCTGTCCCTCCACTCCTGTCTCCTCAGCTCATGCTGTATGTCCTTACTGCCAAGCAGGGCATCATCCTGGTGATGCCGCGCTGAGGTAGTTTTTCCCCATTGCTCTGTCTAAGAGGCAGTGTCAGTTGTGGCATTTCTGGACTGTTTTGGGGGCTCTGGAATGGTCCTTTGAGGATGATCCTGGCCATTTTTGCAGAGGAATGGGAGCTCCTCGCTGCAGGCCAGGAGATGGGACTGGGAGCGTGATGTAGCACAAGAATCACGAGCCACATACCTCGAATCTCAGCTGTCTTTCCAACAGCATGTGACAAGGAGTGAATGTGACATTTTGTTTGTTTGTTTGCGGTGGGATGTGATGGTAGGACAAAGGCCACGTGGCCTTTCATAGCTCTATCATAGTCCTGGCAGGCTGTAGGTGTTCTGAAGGCTCATCCTCATCTTCACAGAGATACAGGATCCCCAGCTGGCATCTGCGTGTTTGCACTCACACAAATGCCGTCCTTCCTTTGTGCTGCAGAACGAGCGGCACTGCGAGTGCAAGCGGGGCTACGTCGGTGACGGGATCCAGTGCCTGGAAGAGGTTGTGCCCCCCACAGACCGGTGCCTGGAAGACAATGGGCAGTGCCATCGTGAGGCCATTTGCACTGACCTGCACTTTCATGGTGTGTGTGCCTAGCCCTGCAGTGCCAGGAATGCTGTTCCATGGAGAGGTCATATTCCCTCACCCTTCACCTTCTGGCTGGGGCACCCCTCAGGAGTGTTGAAGGGTGGGACAGCCAAGGGGCCAGGGACTTGTCTCTATAGCTTGGTCTGGTTTTCACATTCCCCTTTTCCCATACATGTCATGTGGGAGGATGAGACATCCTTGTTTGCTCCTGGGTGACATGTGAGATGGCCTCTGGTGGGATTACACTGCCAGCGAGCACTGTCTCCCTCGTGGAAGGCGAGAAGCTCAGAGGAAGCTGTGCTGCATCCCACCTTGCCCCTCACCTGAGCATTGTCCACATCCCACCCTCCCGTGCAGCGCAGAGCACACTCTCTTGGCGGTGCTGCCCGGGCTCATACAGGGCACCCACATGACTGCCCCGGGGAGGCTGCTCACTCTCTAGACTGTACTGACACTTCCTGGCCTTGGTGTTTTGCAGATAAGACTATGGGCGTGTTTCATCTGCAGTCACCCCAAAAAAAATACGACTTCACTTATGAGCAGGCTCAGCAGGCCTGTGCTGCAGAAGGTGCTTCCCTGGCCACTTTCCGTCAGCTTTCAGCAGCGCAGCAGGTCAGGTTCGCGATGCAGAGGTCGGGCAGGGGCTGGCTCCATCACCCCGTGGGGTGGGGACATGCAGTGCTTCTCCCTGGGCCCGGTCCAGCAGTAGCAAGCCCCA